GAGAGAGAGAGAAAGGTCTTCCTTATGCCGTTGGTTCACCCTCCAATGGCAGCCACGGCTGGCGCGCTGTGGCCAGCACACCGCGCCTATCTGAAGACAGGAGCCAGGAGCCAGGTGCTTCTCCTGGTCTCCCATGGGGTGCAGGGCCCAAGCACTTGGGTCATCCTCCACTGCACTCCCTGGCCACAGCAGAGAGCTGGTAGCCTCCGACTGGGACTAGAACACGGTGTGCCGGTGCCGCAAGGTGGAGGATTAGCATAGTGAGCCGCGGTGCCGGCTCTGCCTTTCAAATAAATAAATAAGGAGCCGGCACTGTGGTGCAGTGGGTTAATGCCCTGGCCTGAAGCGCCAGCATCCCATATGGGCACTGGTTCAAGACCCAGCTGCTCTACTCCTGATCCAGCTCTCTTCTTTGGCCTGGGAAAGCAGTAGAAGATGGCCCAAGTCCTTGGACCCCTGCATCCACAAGTGAGACACAGAAGAAGCTCCTGGCTCTTGGCTTCCAACTGGCACAGCTCCGGCTGTTACAGCCAATTGGGGAGTGAACCATCAGATGGAAGACCTCTCTCTCTCTCTCTGCCTCTCCTCTCTCTGTGTTACTTTGACTTTTGAATAAATAAATCTAAAAAAAAAAAGAGGAAAAAAAAAAGAAAAAAATTTAAAAAATACATGAATTGTATGTTGTGCCATGTGACTGCTTCCAGCTTTGTTTTCCTGTGGGGTTACCCTTGGGGATTTCACCTGGGCAGCCCGGGTTGCGCCAGGTAACCCCGTGCTCTCCTTTGGGGTCGCACGGCTTTGGACAGCAAAGGGAGCTTCTTTCAGAGCAGCCCCCTCACGGGGTCTGAGTTCTACGGAGATTCCAGCGCTGGCTGGGAAGGCAAGTGGAGGTTGATCGCTTCGTGGCGAGGACGGAACTGGCCATGCAGTCTCTGCAAAACAGCCGATTTCCAGAAACAACACGCGGGCGTTCCCCGACCGGCCTTCACGCTGGAAGGTTCTGTGACGCCCAGGGAAATGCAACAGAATGTAATTTACTTTTCAGCACGTGCTAGAACACAGTGAACCTGAGAAACGGTGGCGTGATCCAGCGCCCTGTAAACACAGCTCAGCCTCTGTGCGGCGAGGGGCGAGTGCGTGACTAGCGCTGTGCGTCTCCGGCTTGGATGCTCCCGGAGCGCCAGCGGAGCCCTCGTACGTCAGTGCTGTCGTGGCGTGGGTGGTCACTAGGGGTCAGAGCAGGCAGACCCCACCGGAGCTGAGAGCGTGCAGTCCACACCCTGGCCCGACCCCCAGGACTGCAGAGCAGGGCCCAGGGCCCTGTTTGCCGACACACAGCCAGGCAGGAGCGGTGGCCTGCGCGGCTCTGAGCTACCTTCCCTCAGCGCCTGTCGGGGCCCCTGAGCCCGGTGACATGTAGAGCACCCAGGGGTGGCCCCAGCCAGGTGGCTTTACTTGACTGTTTGGTTAAAACCGACCAAGACCAAGACACCAGCAGTGGATCCTGTACCTCGTCGAATGACGTCTCCCTCTACACACAAAATTTGCGTCCTTCTCTGTGAACAGGACGGGCTGACAACACTGGGGTGCAGCAGCCACAGCACCAGCAATGGAGGCCGAGGGCAGAGAATCCGGTGTCCGGCACCCGTGCCTGGGTTTCACGGCTGGCTCTGGCTCTTGACTCCAGGAACGCAGACCACAGGCGGCCGTGGTGGAGGCCCAAGGACTGGGCTCCCGGGTTCTAGGCCCAGCTGCGGCTGTTGCAGGCGTTGAGGGAGTGAACCAGCAGACGGGAGCTTGCTCTGTGTCTCTCTTCTGAACAGAGGATAGATAAGCAATTGAGGGAGGCCACTGCAGATACACACAGGAGGCGGCCGGGTGACGGTGACAACAGAGACCCGAGGGATGCAGGCCAGGAACGTCCAGGAGTTGGAAGAAGCAGCCAAGAGCCCCCCGGGTCTCCCCTGTGGGTAGCAGGCGCCCATGCACTTGGGCCATCCTCCACTGCTCACCTGCCCGAGACGTCCACGTGTGGGACAAGGGCCGCGTCCGTCTGAAATACACGGGCAAGTCGGTTCTAAGAACTAGCCAAGTCCTCGGCATGGCTGTGCAGAACTGGAGCCGTGAGCCCCTGAGGCGGCGGGAGCCGGGCTCGGCACCGACTCAACTGGCTTTCCTCTTGGGCTGTGTCTCTGAGCATCGGCTTCCGACCCCTGGCCTGATGCGGCCGACGCGGCCAATCAGCGTCCACTGAGTGTGCGACTCAGCAGACTTGCTGAGCTGTGGGAAGGACGCGAGTGGTTAAAACACTGCCCCCCCCCCCCCGGCCCGGATGAAAAAGGCATGCCGACTATTTCATTCCCTTCCCTCCTTTAAATGGACTTCAAACGCCAGTGACTTCTTCTGGAAGGACTAAGCTATGTCCCTTAAGTCAGGTGGGGAGGGAGATGGAGCATTCACAGAAGCCTTTTCCATTAAATCTGAGAAGGCGGGATGCGGGCATTTTATTTGGTTTCCACTATTATTTGGGGGAAAGTGAGGGAAAAAAACCTCGTGGTTTTTTTTTTTTTTTTTTTTTTTTTTTTTTTTTTTTTTTTTTTTTTTTTGACAGGCAGAGTGGACAGTGAGAGAGAGAGACAGAGAGAAAGGTCTTCCTTTGCCGTTGGTTCACCCTCCAATGGCCGCCGCGGCCGGCTCGCTGCGGCCGGCGCACCGCGCTGATCCGATGGCAGGAGCCAGGTGCTTCTCCTGGTCTCCCATGGGGTGCAGGGCCCAAGCACCTGGGCCATCCTCCACTGCACTCCCTGGCCACAGCAGAGGGCTGGCCTGGAAGAGGGGCAACCGGGACAGAATCCGGCACCCCGACCGGGACTAGAACCCGGTGTGCCGGCGCCGCAAGGCGGAGGATTAGCCTAGTGAGCCGCGGCGCCGGCCCTAAAACCTCGTGTTTTAATAACAAAATTTGCCCCTAATTTTGTATTTTGCCTTTGCAATAGAAGGCTGTGTACTATGCACCGTTTTTTTCTTTTTAAGGGGGAAGCTCAGAAATTTAAATGTGCTACATCTGGACAGATTTACTCCTTGGATCTTAACCTACGTGACCCTGAGTGGCGCTCGGTTAACAAAAACTTAGTTTAAGACCAAAAAGATGCCCAGGTGGTAGTGAGGAAGCCACGGAAGGTGGTAAATCTGCCAGCCTACCTGAGCTGGATCCTTAGCACGCCAACTTTATTCACTGTTCCTATAGACGTCTCTGGGCACACACGTCGGTGTTGCCTTGGTGACAGAGCAGAGCCGTGCACAGCGCTAGTGCACACACACCCCGTGCATGTGACACGACTTTGTGACGACACAGCGTCGTCCGCACGGGCACGGCAGCTCTGCATTGCCCTCACCTGCTAGTGCCCTGTGCCAGGTGCCCTGCAGTGTCAGCCCTGCCCCTCTGGCCCGAAAATCGCAGAGCCGGCTGCCCCTCTTCCTGGGCTGTCACAGCCACCTGCCCCTCTTCCTGGGACGTCACAGCCACCTGCCCCTCTTCCTGGGCTGTCACAGCCACCTGCCCCTCTTCCTGGGCTGTCACAGCCACCTGCCCCCTCTTCCTGGGACGTCACAGCCACCTGCCCCTCTTCCTGGGATGTCACAGCCACCTGCCCCTCTTCCTGGGACGTCACAGCCACCTGCCCCTCTTCCTGGGACGTCACAGCCACCTGCCCCTCTTCCTGGGACGTCACAGCCAGCTGCCCCTCTTCCTGGACGTCACAGCCACCTGCCCCTCAACCTGGGACGTCACAGCCACCTGCCCCTCTTCCTGGGACGTCACAGCCACCTGCCCCTCTTCCTGGGCTGTCACAGCCACCTGCCCCTCTTCCTGGGACGTCACAGCCACCTGCCCCTCTTCCTGGGCTGTCACAGCCACCTGCCCCTCTTCCTGGGACGTCACAGCCACCTGCCCCTCTTCCTGGGCTGTGACAGCCACCTGCCCCTCTTCCTGGGACGTCACAGCCACCTGCCCCTCTTCCTGGGACGTCACAGCCACCTGCCCCTCTTCCTGGGACGTCACAGCCACCTGCCCCTCTTCCTGGGCTGTCACAGCCACCTGCCCCCTCTTCCTGGGACGTCACAGCCACCTGCCCCCCTCTTCCTGGGATGTCACAGCCACCTGCCCCTCTTCCTGGGCTGTGACAGCCACCTGCCCCTCTTCCTGGGATGTCACAGCCACCTGCCCCTCTTCCTGGGCTGTGACAGCCACCTGCCCCTCTTCCTGGGACGTCACAGCCACCTGCCCCTCTTCCTGGGACGTCACGGCCACCTGCCCCTCTTCCTGGGACGTCACGGCCAGCTGCCCCTCTTCCTGGGATGTCACAGCCACTTGCAGCCGCGAGGGTCTGCGCAAAGCCCCTCCTGAGGCAGGGACACCCCGCAGCCGGGCAGGGGCGCACGGGACCACTGAGAGGGTCCCCAGGCCCCACCCTGCGAGCGTGGTCACCGCGCACTCGGTCTGCGCACGGGAGGTAAGTTCAGGCTCCCCTGGAGGGAAAAGAAGCAGGAACCATGCACCCACGCGAGAACCAGGGTCACGTATCGAGAGCGGTGGGCGGGGAGGAGTCCGAGTGCGTGGGCGTGGCCCGGCGGTCTTCGGGATCGGAGTTCGAGCGTGTGGGCGTGGCCCGGCGGTCTTCAGGACCGCGGAGTCCGAGTACGTGGGCGTGGACGGGGCGTGGCCCGGCGGTCTTCGGCATCATGGAGTTCGAGCATGTGGGCGTGGCCCGGTGGTCTTCAGGACCGCGGAGTCCGAGTACGTGGGCGTGGCCCGGGCGTGGCTGCGGAGCTGGGTGGGGCCCAGGCGGGGCTGGGGTGGAGTCCGCGTTGGGGCGGGGCGGGGCCGCGCGGGGGCGGGGTCGGGGTCGGGTCGGGGCCTCGCGGGGGCGGGGCGGGGGCGGGGCCGGGGCGGTGTCCGCGTTGGGGCGGGGCGGGGCCTCGCGGGGGCGGGGCCGCGCGCCAACGGTCGCGTGCCGCGGTCGCTCGCGGGGCTCCGGCTGAGGGCCGAGCGCGCTGAGGAGAGTCCGCGGCGCGAGGGCGCCGGCGCCGGAGCGGCGAGGCCGGGTTGTGGCCGTGCGGGCTCGAGGAGCCGCCCGCCGGAGGCCGCGGTGAGCCGCGGGTGGCGCGTGGTGGTGCGGGGCGCCGCGGTGCCGCCCTTTCCAGGGGTCGGGCCGGGAGCCGGGCGCACGCCGGCCGCTTGTTTTCTGAGAGACGGCGACGGGCAGGGCGCCCCGGCCGCTCCCTCCGCGGTCCCGGGCGCGGGTGGTCGGGCGGGCGGACTCTGGACGCGGGAGCGCGGCCGGGGGCTTGCGGAGGCGCGGGTCGCCCTGGCACCCCGGGGTGCGGGAGGCGCGGGGAGTTTGGGCGCCTCGGGCCGCGGGTCCCGCATCGGGCCTGCTGCTCGGCTCCGGTCCAGCTTCCTGCCAGTGTGCGGGGAGGGCGGCGGACGCTGACCCTGCGCAGGCACGCTGGGACCCCGACCTGGCCGTCGGGGTCACTTGGGGCGTGGACCTGCTCACGGGAGATCAGGCTCTCCTGTGCTCTCCTGGCTTTCAAGTAAAAATGGACAAATAATAAACGTTTAAAAACATCGAAAATCCTCGCGTCCTCTGGAGGCAGACAGAGGGGCCGCGGTGGGAGTGGAGGTGGTAGGGGCTGGGGAGAGGGTAGAAATGGTGAGATTCCTGAAGTAATGCGGAGGAAGTGTGGACGCGGCGGCCGGGGGCCTGCGCGGTGGAGGGGACAGCAGCGATGAGAGGCTGGCAGGAATGGGATTTTCTGGCGGGACCTGCGATTGCAGGGCCCCAGCACAGCCGCCTGGCACGGCGTCGGGCTGGGTGGTGGCCATGACACAGCACAGACTGGCCCGTGCCGTCCTGGCTCTGAGCGGCACTGCAGAGCTGGCAAAGTTTGCCTTGTGGACGCCTCCCCGCTCCTGCTCAGAATTCCTTCATCCGGGCCTCAGGCTGACTGACTGTGGCCTGCGCCAAATTTGTGCCCATGGCCTCCAAATCAGAAACCTGCTGGACGTTGCCTTGCGGGTCTGACTGACACTGGCAGCTGGTCTGTGGGCCACGCACCGTCTGGGACAAGCACGTTGTCGTGTGGCTTCCGCGTGGGAGCAGGGCCTTCCCTGGAGGGAAGCTCCTGCAGGGTGACCACCTCCCCGTGAAATCTCAGCAAGACACCAGGAAGGTCCTGGGAGGAGCCCGCTGCGTCAGGCTAGACTCCAGGCCAGAAACGAGGTCACTCCTGGAGAGCAGGAGAAGGACTCCGGGCTAAGGGAGGGGAGTTCTGGGGACCTGCCAGAGGTGGTTGTGGTGACCCTGCCTTCTGTAGTGTCAGGCCGGCCTCATGGCAGGCACCTGTGACATTCCCAGCGCTGGTCCCAGAGACTGCAGCAGTCCTCCCCCCAGTGGACCTCTTCCGCATCACTTCCAAGGGTCTGGGTCAGTGGCTTCAGGGCTCCGCACATCTGTCCCACCTCCGGCTCTCTGTTTCATTGCTCCTTTCGGAGGCTCCTGAGTTGGTACAAGGTGGGCCTGTGGGCTTAACACAGAGCAGACACGCAATCCACGCATGTTGAGTGAACAGACCAGGTCGTTGTAGTACTCTGAGGAGTGGCTGCGCCTTGGGTGGGGAAGATGGCGCTGGGACTGGAGAAAAGGAGACATCTACAATGTGTTTGTCAAATAGCAAGGGCAATAGTTGCCAATGAATGAAGTGACCTCTGGATTCCCAGACTTTAGCTATTTTGTGCTAACTTTGTATCTCTCAAAAGGTGGAGATGGGGAAGCAAGTCATATTGCGCAGACAGGCACTAGGGTATCTTGCTGCATGCTTGGAATGATAGAAATAGAAGAAGCTTCAAAGAGACTCTGATGTCATGTGCTTCACTGAGAGATGCTAAGGGGTTAAGTGCAGAAAACTCACTCAGGTTGTAGGTGTTGTGTTTTACACAAAATCCAGCCCCTGAGTCATTTCACTTCCTCCAGCTTCAAGTGTCTGGTACTTGCTAGCTCTCAGTAAATCTGTGTTCAGTGGATGGGCGAATGGGTGAATCTGTCATGATTTGGTAAGTGTTCCAGAGAGTGAAATTGCATGGCAAGACAAAGCAGACCAGGCCAGAGGATGAGTGGGCAACTCAACACTGCGTAATTCCCAGTGCTTTCTTCTGGTACTGACTGGCACTGAGGATTCTGAATGCAGAAACAACTACTTGGATAGTCACAGCAGTGCGCTCATTCATCGAGTCTGTGAATGTCCAGGTACCTTCTGCGTGTTGTTTCATTACTAGCTAGATATTATCCACATTTTTAATGTAAAGATTTACTTATTTGAAAGAGTTACACACAGAGAGAAGGAGAGAGAGAGAGAGAGAGAGGAAGAGAGAGAGAGAGAGGTCTTCCATCCACTGGTTCACTCCCCAGTTGGCTGCAATGGCTGGAGCTGAGCAGATCCAAAGCCAGGAGCCAGGAGTTTCTTCTGGGTCTCCCACGTGGGTGCAGGGCCCCAAGGACTTGGGCCATCTTCTACTGCTATCCCAGCCATAGCAGAGAGCTGGATTGGAAGAGGAGCAGCTGGGATTAAAACTGGAGCCCATATGGGATGCCGGCACGGCAGGTGGAGGATTAACCTACTGCACCACGGCACCTACTCCCAATGGTTTCTTAAATACTTTTTTTAAACCTTGGAATTTTTCATGGTTTATTTAATTATTTAATTTTTAAAAGGATTTATTTATTTATTTGAAGGGCAGAGTTACAAAGAGAGAGGAAGAAACAGAGATCATCTGTCTGTTCACTCTGCAAATAGCCACATCAACCAGGGCTGGGCCAGGTCAAAGGCAGGAGTCAGGAGCTTCATCCAGGTCTCCCATGTGGGCTCAGGGGCACAAGGAGTTGGATCATCTTCTGTTTTCCCAGGCCCCTTAGCAGAGAGCTGGATCAGAAGAGGAGCTGCTGGGACTTGAACCAGTGCCCATATGGGATGCTGGTGCTGCAGCAGTGGTTTAACCAGCTGTGCCACAGCACTGGCCGCATCAGTTATTTAATTTATACATCTAAATTATGTTTTCTAAAATGCAGGTAAAATATGGCAGACTTCTTTGCATCGAAGAGCTTTACTGCACTTTCAGATCTACATCCAAGTATGGCTAACTTGGTAGGTTTCAATGATGTGATGACTTGCTTGTTCTCAAATGAAGCTTCGTATGGTAACAAGATGTCATATCAGCATGATTGATTCATTCAACAAATCCTCTTATAGTTGACAAGTGCATTGATATTCACTGCACTGTGCAGTTAGGTAGTGAGTGCCCCCACATCTCTGTATTCATGCCACAGCTAAATGGAGATTCATCCTTGTTTTGTCAAGGAGTAGGTGCATGATGGTAGATATCATTGGTGATTATTCCAAATGGTCGAGATTTTTATATTATTTTAATGCATACGTACTAAAATGATAATTTAATAGATACTCAAATTTAGCATTGTAAAATTAAATGATTTTTGTTCAGCAGTAGCAATTCTTTAATCAAATATCCAGTTTTTAATCTTAAATACTTGCTGTGACACTGCTTATATGACATGAGGTACACTCTAAGCATGTTATGTAAAAACTGACTTTTTTGGAGAAGCTGTGGAGGAATTCAGTAATTTCAAATATTCCAAGACTGTTCATTTTTTAAAAGAAATTTGGATGGAGTCATAAGGTGAAGAACTCACAGTAAAACAATGACCATACTCCCTTACCTTCCAGCCCCTGAGTCGCCTGCTGTTCACGGGTCTCAAACTGGAATAAGTTTATGTGTAACTTTGATAAGCTGCAAGTCAAAGTTTATTAGTGTTAAAAATCATTGTTATAGTTTTCTTAAAAGGTAAAGTATTGCTAATCATCTCTTCTATTAGAAAGTTTTAATCACAGCTTCCAGTAGTTGTATGTTTCCACATTCATGTATGTGTTCAGTGATATCTGAATGTATGTAGAGTTTAAGAAATAATAACTGTGGTGTAAATGCATCAAGACTAACCAATAGTTCAGCTAGAATGTAATAGTCTTAAAAATTACTGTATTTTAAGTGTTACTGATTATTATAAAGTTAAAATTAGTTGCTAGAATTAGTAATATAAATTTAGGCTTTTCTCTTTCAGAAAAAGTAGTTATTTTTATTTTTTAAAGAACAATTTTAATAATTTTTTGAGAATATTAAAACTGTTAAAGAGATGTTAATATCTTTGAGGTTTAAGATCTAGATGGTAGAATTTAGGCTTATTAACAGCAATATTACAAATTTTGCTGCAGTCTAATTTATATTACTATCCAGCATGTTTAGATTAAGAAGCTAATCAATTTTCTGTGGATTGTTAGAAAACCTATAAAGGAAAGCTTTGAAGACGGTGGCAAATTAAATGACATTATACATGTGCTTTGGATGAATTCAGTAAAGACTGACAGCATGGGCAGTTACTGTGCTCCATCTAGTGACTGAGAACAAAGTGGAGACATACTAAGTATTAGAAGTATTAGTAATACCAGTCAACTGTCTTAGTACATTGTACTGTCTTTGTGGAATTGAATATTCATGAAGTTCTTTTAGATGTTTGACTGGAATAAATACATTTAAATGGCTCCTAGTCAAAAATGTTTGTTAGAGCCAGTAAAATATAACAAGCCTTTGAAATTAAATTTGCTGTCTACATCTGTATTTAATATTGGTATTCTATACTCTTTTGTTTTTCAGAAAGTAATTGGTATAGTCATTGGGAAAACAGACGTCAAAGGCTTTCCAGACAGAAAAAGCTGAGTTTTCTTTAATTCTTTGCTTCATTTTTCATAAACTGTGGCTTATGACTGCAGTGAAGTTTATGCAAGTGATTAAATGTTCCGTGCCTGTTTAACTCTTTATAAGCAGTGGCCAAGTTCTCTATTGTATAGTCATGTACTGGGTTAAGGCCATATATGTGAAGATATCAGTCCATTTTTTAAAAAAAATATTTATTTATTTGAAAGTCAGAGTTACAGAGAGAGAGAAAGAGAAAGAGAGAGAGAGAGAGAGAGAGAGAGGTCTTTCATCTGCTGGTTTACTCCCCAAATGGCCGCAACGGCTGGAGCTGCACACTAATCTGGAGCCAGGAGTCAGGAGCTTCCTCTGGGTCTCCCACATGAGTGCAGGGGCCCAAGGACTTGGATTATCTTCTACTGCTTTCCCAGGCCACAGCAGAGAGCTGGATCGGAAGTAGAGCAGCCGGGATGTGAACTGGCACCCATATGGGATGCCGGCACTGCAGGCGGCGGTTTTACCTGCTATGCCACAGTGCTGGGCCCCAGTCCATTTTTTTTATCTTTTTTTTTTTTTAAGATTTATTTATTTATTTGAAAGAGTTACAGAGAGAGAGGTAGAGACAGAGAGAGAGAGAGAGAGACAGAGAGAGAGGTCTTCTATCCGATGGTTCACTCCCCAGTTGGCTGCAACAGCTGGAGCTATGCCGATCCAAAGGAAGGAGCCAGGAGCTTCTTCCAGGTCTTCCACGTGGTTGCAGGGGCCCAAGGAATTGGGCCATCTTCTACTGCTATCCCAGGCCACAACAGAGAGCTGGATTGGAAGAGGAGCAGCCAGGACTAGAACTGGCATCCATATGGGATACTGGCACTTCGGGCCAGGGCTTTAACCCGCTGTGCCACAGCACCGGCCCAACCCCCAGTCCATTTTTAATACTTTTTTTTTTTTTTTTTTTTTTTTTGACAGGCAGAGTGGACAGTGAGAGAGAGACAGAGAGAAAGGTCTTCCTTTGCCGTTGGTTCACCCTCCAATGGCCGCCGCGGCCGGCGCGCTGCGGCCGGCGCAGCGCGCTGATCCGATGGCAGGAGCCAGGAGCCAGGTGCTTTTCCTGGTCTCCCATGGGGTGCAGGGCCCAAGCACCTGGGCCATCCTCCACTGCACTCCCTGGCCACAGCAGAGGGCTGGCCTGGAAGAGGGGCAACCGGGACAGAATCCGGCGCCCCGACCGGGACTAGAACCCGGTGTGCCGGCGCCGCTAGGCGGAGGATTAGCCTAGTGAGCCGCGGCGCCGGCCCCCATTTTTAATACTTTTATTTGATGTTTCTCAAATATAATTCTAAAGGTTTTAGGCATACAGTGCTTAAATAACTAGTTAAATAGCTAGTTAAATTAGTCAACTCACTGACATTCATGTACTTATTTAACTCCTCCATAGCCTAAGGACCTATGGAGCATAGAGGCAAAATAAAAGTTGTAGTCTTTTTTTTTTTTTTTAAGTTTATTTATTTGAAAGAGAGAGAGAGAGACGTATGGTGAAAGATCTTCCATATGCTGGTTCACTCCCCAGATGGCTGCAATGGCCTGGGCTGGGCCAGGCTAAAGCCAGGAGCCAGGAGCTTCTCCATATGGGTAGCAGGGGCCCAAACACTTGGGCCATCTTTCGCTGGCTCATTAGCAGGGAGCAAGATCAGAAATGGAGTAACTGGTTGTACATTTGCAAGAAACTAGATTGGAAGCAGAGTATCTGGGACTTGAATCAAATGCTTCCATATGGGATGCAGGCAACTTAACTGCTGTACCAAATGCATACCCCTGTATTACTTTTTCAATAAGCCAACCAATAAAGAAATTCCCATTTTGAAACAAGCATGTCCTTGCTGACCCCTGGTGGTGTTCATTTGGTATATACAATTTGTTTTGAGAGAAATATTTAGATCTGAATCATGACTTGGGTTAAAACCATAGGGATAAGACAGAAATGGAGGATCCAAGCTGATATCTGGGCAGTTCAAGTCTTCATGTCATTTCCCTATTCTACACAGGTAACTGGAGAGAGGAGAAAGAGGCCAACTAGGTCAACAGTCTATATTGGTGACTTGTTACCACTTCACTTTAAAATTCATGGAAGCATAACATTTCGGAATGTATACTTGAAATAACATTTTGTACCATGTGTTTTCTTTGTCAGAATGATCATTAATAATCAATTGTTCAAAGTCAAAATAAAACTTTTCACTTGAGAAATAAAAGCACTGGTTTTCTCTTAGATATTGGATCAGAACGGTACACCTTCAGTTTCACCATTCGAGATTCACCAAACCATTTTGTAAATGTCACCTCCTGGGGCAATGAAGATTACATCAAGTCACTTTCTGGCAGCTTTCGGGTTGGGGAGTGTGGTGAGTTGGCCTTGATTCTTACACTGTTTTTGCTGCAATATTTTTGCTGTGGTATGTATGGTAAGTATACTGAGGGAATCAAAATGCAATAAGACGCAATTCATGATTCTCAAGAACTTTGTGAGAAAAAATTCAGATGTTAAGAGCATAAGGCAAAAAAAAAAAAAAAAAAGAGCATAAGGCAAGGAACTCACAGGTCCCTGGAAGCAGGTAAAAGTGACGGTCGTACTTTTGCTGGGCAGCTTTACTATCTTTGTGTTACAAGTATTTCATATTTCAGTTTGCATCAACCCCTGTTAGCCTAATCATTTATTTTTATAGACATAGTAGGGCCACCCAATAGATTCTGATAAAAGCTGATATTTGAATTTTTAATAGGATTTTAGGCAAAATACCAAATCTCCTGCAACTTCTCACTTTAATTATGCTCTGACAGTCCAGCCTGTTGTAAAAAGAACAAGGACTGTGAAGCATAGTTCCAAAGTCTCACATCCAACACCTAACTACATCCTAGTTTTGAGAAAATGTCTTAATGTCGTTAGGCCTTACCTGTGAAGTAGTACCCCCTAGGTTCCTGTGGGTGGCAGATGAGACGGTGTGGCTTCCTCCCTCACAGATGACAGCACTGAACTCCCAGGAGAAGTGGAAGGGCTGTGCAGCCGCTCTTTGTGGTGGAGAAGGGGACAGGGAGTAATGCAGTGATGAGCTGCTCTTCCCAGCCCAGGGGATTAAGCAGCCAGTTACCCATAGACGTGCAGTACCTAGCCCGTGTGCAGCGTCTCTGACCAAACATTTGCAGGACTGTGTACCGTGAAGGCAGAAAGCTCTGCCAACTTCATAGCACCCGGTGTGGTTATGTGGTTAAGTGATACAAGGTCATTACTATAGATGGGCATTTCAGAGTGTGTGAAAAGGAAATTAAAAAATAAGTTTATTGTGGCGTAAAAATTTTAAAGTGATACCTGTAAGAGGTCTTCAGAAAGTCCACAGAAAATGCATATTATGAGAAAAGCATGCACAGAAGTCCAAACAGAGGTGTGGGGAAACTGAAACCCTAAATTGTTGAGGTCACCAAGCTGAGGAGTGAGAGAGCCCACACCAGTGGAGTGGCCTGGCTTTGTGTGGCTCTGTCCACCCCTACTGCTGTCCCCAGGGCAAGTGTGAAGGGCGTATTGTACCCACATCAAGTGTTGGGTTAACTAAATCAGTAAAGTACTATCAGTGTATGCTACGTGTTGGCATTTACGCACAAAGCAGTGACAACGTCATCAGCTAAACTGATGGCTGCACCTCAGGCTCCCGTCTTCACAGGGCCGCTGGAGGGCGGGGGGCACGGCAGAGATCCCAGTGCTCAGCCCCCCTCGTGTGCACTTGGTTGCTCTTCATCCCCCTCCTGTTCTGTAGTACTCATGTGGTTTGCCCTCTGTTACAGTGATGATTGAAAATCCCCTGATCCAAAGAAAAGAAATGGAGAGAGAAGAAAAATTCATCCCGACCACACCTAGGTAAATACGCATCGCCAAGGTCCGCAGTCTGTGTGTTAAACCAGTAATTGCTGCTGATTTCTAGTGCATTAGCAGTGAGCTCATCAAAGGCACTCTGTTTCTATTTGAAAATTGGGAGTTTAATTTTCTTTCATACGTTGATATAGTCATATAAAAATGGCTTTGTTTTTAGAACTTTGATTCTCACATTTACAAAAACTTGACTGCAGTCACACTGAAACTGAACAATTAGAAAGAAGGATAAATCTTGGGAATTCTATCTATTTTTTGTGAAACCTGCAAGGAAAAGATGGGGGAGAAGCTGAGCAAAGAAATGAGCTCACCTAGAGCCTCACCCTTGGGAGCTCGATGTGAGTGAACCCCGGAGTAGTCCCCTGGAGGGAGGTGTGGGCTGCTGTACCCACGTTGTCTCTGGCTAGGGTCCCCCTAAGGGGAAGGAAGGGCGTCTCTGGAGAGGAGGCTGGAGCTGTTCTCCAGTCGGCCTGTAGAGGGCTCTGGGGGCACAGCCGCCTGCGCAAGGGCACTCACATCCTCTTGTCACCCCTTGCACTGCTCCTCTGACGTTGGTGACCTCTCAGCTTAACGGTCACTTCCTTCAGACACCCCCACCTGCTCTGTCTGTAGCAGCCCTTTTGTCAGTTCCTGGGCTTTTCCCTGTGCTGTTGGCATCATCGCCCAGGTGACTGGGCCAGGTTGATGAGGTGCGTCTCCCTCTAACACATGGGAACCTGTGAGATCAGTGGCCTTGTCTCTTCACACTGTGTCCCTGTACCACCCATAATCTTCCCTCAGACCATGGAATGGATGTTTGGAGGGAGAGAGGGAAAGAGCATGAAACCTCCCGAGCTTCCCAGAAGGCTTACTGTATGTCGAACCGAATGAAGCTGGTGATGTTTGTTGACTGTCTTTGGTCTGAAGTGTCAGTCTTATAACCCAGTAGTCTGATGTTCCTGGACAAGTGTGGTGACCTGGCAGCAGGAGAAGCTGTGGGAGACGCAGACTCAGTTCTCTCTGGTGAACTTGGGTAGCCACAGGAGGTCTTTGAGCTCCAGAACAATGTTTTCCCATTAGTTTGGCTGCATACGAGGGATCGAGGGATCGAGGGATCGTCTGTAGATAGGAGACAAGGGCAGTGGTTTGGGAGAGAAATGATAAGGTCACTGACTAAGGTGGTGGGGAAGGTGTGTGTGGAAGCTGCTAAGGAGGCTCCCTGGAGAGGACTTGAGGGTTGTTTGACTCTGGTTCACCGTGTTCAGTGCTGCGCATCTTCTCCATATGGAGCAGGCAGAGGTGAGGACAGCGCATATCTTGGACAGGGCACTCAGAGAGGAGCTGAGGCAGGGTCACAGGAAAGAGAAATAGCAGATTCTTGTGTTCTTGGGTTTTTAAAGATTTATTTATTTTTTTTGAAAGGCAACGTGTTAGGGAGAAGGAGAGGGCGAAGGGGAGAGGGAGAAGGAGAAGGAGAGAGATTCTGTTTGCTGTTTCACTCCCTGAATGGCTGCCACCACCAGGGCTGGGCCAGGTTGAAGGCAGGAACTCCATCCTAGTCTCCACATGGTGGAGCCCTTGGCCCGTCTTCTGCTGCCTTCCCAGGCGCAGTAGCAGGAAGCTGAATCAGGAGCAGAGTGGCCAGGACTTGAACCAGTGCCCACATGGGATGCCAGCACTGCAAACAGCAACTTAAGCTGCTATGCAACAACACTAGTCCCATATTTTCATTTTTATAACCTCCTAAATGGTTTTAGAACTTACTGAAGTTTATTTTTATTTGAAAAGCAGAGAGAGAGATTGAGATTGAGATTACGATTGCTTACTCCACAAATGTCCACAACAGCCAGAGCTAGGTTATCCTGAAGCCAGCAGCCAGGAAAACCATCTGGGTCTCCCACATAGGTGGCAGGCACCCAAGTACTTGAGCCATCATCCTCTGCCTCCCACGATGCATTGTCAGGAACCTGGAAGTGGAGGGGAACTTGATCCCAGGCTTAAGCCTGGTGTCCCAAGTGGTATCCCCACTGTCTACTTCACGCACTTCCCTGAAGTTTCAGTGCTTCTGTACCCATGTTTTATAAAGAAGGAAGCTGAAGTTCAGTGTCTCGGGCAAGATCAGACAACCAGGATGCCTAGAACTCAGGCAAGAACAGATCTTCAAAATGTTGTCTTAAGTACATTTTAGACAAACATGCTTTGTCACATTATTCAATGTAAATCTTGAAAAGTATACAAATCTTAATATAGTCTAAATTATTGCCAAAAAGATAATTTAGCTGTGAACCTGAAAGTATTTTTCTGTTAAAAAATCATGTTATTAACTTTTTTATGTGTTTTGCAATTTAGCAACTGTAAACTACTGCTCAGTGAGAATCACTCAACTGTGAAGGTCTGTTCTGTTTATGAAGTGGACAACAAGTTACTTTCTTTGATACATTTACCTGTTAAGGAGTCTCGAGATTATTATTCTTTGGGTGATATTGTTGCAAATGGACACAGTCTTGATGGGAGGATTATTAATGTGCTTGCAGCCGTGAGGTCGGTAAGTTAAAACCCCAGCAAAACTGAGTGGGGTGGGGGAGTCTCGGTCACCTCCTTTGTGTTTGGAATGCAGTGGTCATCACCACCTGGGGTAATTTTTCCTACATATCTTAGTAGTAAGTTAAATTAAGAAAAGAGTAACACTTCTCATTAAAGGGAAAGTAGCATTTTATCTATGAGTCAGTACCAAGATAAAATTGTTTTCGAATGCCAAATTCGCATGCCACCCTCCTTGTGAATGGCTCACTATGGGAGAGTTTTTCATACTTTGGGTAAACACAGACACAAGTGGAAAGAACAAGCTGATTGACTCGAAGATCTCCACGATGCTCCTTAGCATCGGGAGGAACGGACTTCGCGTGTGTTCTCAGGTGGAGTGAGGACAGTAAGATGTGAGACTTAACCGGTCCCCTCAAAGAAGGCGAGGCAAGAACCTGAAATGGTTGAGGCTTATGTCCTTGTTCCATCAGTGATGTTTTTCCCCAAATATTTGTTTATTTCAATGACAGACAGAGAGATAGAGAGGGAGGGAGAGAGAGAGAGGGAGAGAGAGGGAGGGAGGGAGAGAGAGAGAGGGAGGTCTTCTATCTGCTGGTTTACTCCTCAAAATGACCACAATGGCTGGAGCTATACCCATCAGAAGCCAGGAGGCAGGAGCCACCTCCAAGTCTCCCACATGGTTGTAGGGGTCCAAGCATTGGGCCATCTTCTGCTTTTCCAGGCGCATAAGCAGGGAGCTGGATTGAAAGTGGAGCAGCTGGCGCTGTGTTGTAGGAGGTGAAGCCACCACCTGCAGTGCCGGAAGTCCATATGGGCGCCGGTTCAAGTCCTGGCTGCTCCTCTTCCAATCCAGCTCTCTGCTGTGGCCTGGGAAAGCAGTAGAAGATGGCCCAAGTGCTTGGGACCCTGCACCCACATGGGGGACCCGTAAAAAGCTCCTGGCTTCAGATCAGCACAGCTCCAGCCATTGCGGCCAATTTGGGGGTGAACCAGCAGATGGAAGACCTCTCTCTTTCTCATCTCTCTCTCTGCATATCCTCTATATAACTCTGACTTTCAAATAAAATAAATAATTATTTTTAAAAAATGTAAATAGCATTCTCATTTTTTTTTTAATTTGACAGTTATAGACAGTGATAGAGAGAAACAGAGAGAAAGGTCTTCCTTCTGTTGGTTCACGCCGCAAATGGCCGCAACGGCAGGCGCTGTGCCAATCCGAAGCCAGGAGCCAGGTTCTTCTTCCTGGTCTCCCATGCGGGTGCAGGGCCCAAGCACCTGGGTCACCCTCCACTGCCCTCCCGGGCCACAGCAGAGAGCTGGACTGGAAGAGGGGCAACCTGGACTAGAACCCAGCACCTATATGGGCCGGCACCGCAAGGCAGAGGATTAACCAAATGAGCCACGGTGCCAGTCCCAGCATTCTTCATTTTTTAAAAAATGTGGGGGCCAGCGCTGTGGTGTAGTGGGTAAAGCCGCTGCCTACAGAGCCAGCATCCCATATTGGCGCTGGTTTGAGTCTCCGCTGCTCCACTTCCGATCCAGCTCTCTGCTGTGGCCTGGGAAAGCAGTAGAAGATGGCGCAGGTCCTTGGGCCCCTGCACCCTCGTGGCAGACCTGGAGGAAGCTCCTGGCTCCTGGCTCCTGGCTTAGGATTGGCACAGCTCCAGCCATTGAAGCCAGTTGGGGAGTGAATCAAATAATGGAAGGTCTTTCTCTTTCTTTCTACCTCTCCTTCTCTCTCTGTGTAACTGACTTTCAAATAAATAAATCTTAAAAAAAAAATAAAGAAAGAATAAGAAAGTAGAGGGTCTGGTGCTGTGGCGTAGCAGGTAAACTTGCTGCCTGCAGTGCTGGAATCCTATATGGGTCTAACTTGAGTCCCGACTGCTCCGCTTCTGATCCAGCTCTCTGCTGTGGCTGGGGAAAGCAGTCGTAGATGGTCCAAGTCCTTGGGTCCCTAAACCTACATGGGAGACCCAGAAGAAGCTCCTGGCTCCTGACTTTGGACTGGCCTAGCTCCAGCCATTGTGGCCATTTGGGGAATGAACCAGCAGATTGAAGATCTCTCTTTCTCTCTGTGCCTCTGCCTCTCTGTAACTCTGCCTTTCCAATAAATAAACAAATCTTTTTTTTTTTTTTTGACAGGCAGAGTGGACAGTGAGAGAGAGAGACAGAGAGAAAGGTCTTCCTTTGCCATTGGTTCACCCTCCAATGGCCGCCACAGCCGGCACACCGCACTGATCCAATGGCAGGAGCCAGGTGCTTCTCCTGGTCTCCCATGGGGTGCAGGGCCCAAGCACTTGGGCCATCCTCCACTACACTCCCTGGCCACAGCAGAGAGCTGGCCTGGAAGAGGGGCAACCAGGACAGAATCCGGCGCCCCTACTGGGGGGACTAGAACCTGGTGTGCCGGCGCCGCAAGGCGGAGGATTAGCCTAGTGAGCCGTGGCGCCGGCCAATAAATAAATGTTATAAAAAAGAAAGTGGATGAGCAAGGTCTTGAACTGCACCCACAGGGGGTGCTGCACTGACTAAGCCACAGTGCCAGCCCAGGAGTGTTATCTTGCACAGCCGCAGCATTTGTCTCTGTGCAGCACGTTCTAAGCTCCGGAATCACTGAGCAAAGATTAGAGGTGGACCTAAAAAATAGTTTCACAAAATAAACTATATCAAGAAAAGTAAAAGTGCAAGAGTAATTTCTCAACATAGGGAAGGATGATAGTCAAAAGACAAAAAAAAAAAAAAAAAAAAGGAAAAGGAGATAGCCCTGTGCACTTGTGTTAGTGTCGTAAGTAGTGCTGATCTAGAGAGTGCCAGCTCCCTGAGCAGGCTCTGACCACAGGAGGGTGAGGCGGCGTTATCTGTGGCTCCAGCCCTAGTCTCGCAGGGTGCCTGGCACTCAGAGGATACTCGGTATCATTTGGGAAGGAGGAGTAAACACCATAGATGACAATCTTAAAAACAGGAGTCTCTAGGCAATTTACACTCAATACTGTTCAGTCTCTGATTATGCTTAATCATACTCGATTTCCCTGCATTTCTATGTGACATATTCATTTATAATGTATGAATATAAAAAACTTAGTGTGAATATAAGCAAAAACCTGCCACAGCTTTTCCCGTTCCCTGTAGGAGGCTGGCGTACTCTTTCTTGTTTATTTTTGTTTTATTTGAGAGACAGCAAGGCAGACAGAGAACTCCTATCTGCTGTTTTATTCCCTAAACGCTTGCAAGAGCTGGGTGATGAAAGCCTCAGGGGCTGGAAACTCAGTCTGGGTCTCCCTGTTGGGTGGCAGGAGCCCAACCACTGGAGCCATCACACTGCCTCCTGGGGTCCAGGTTAAGCAGGAAGCTGGAACCAGGAGCTGGAACCAGACATCCCACGCATTGCTGTGGGACATGGGCAAGGCAACCAGCAGCTTAACTGCCAGGCCGGACACTGCCCACGGCGCCCTCTCTCCTGTGTCACATCACTTTTCACGCTCAACACCTTAACCCTGTGGAAAAGGCGAAGTACTGATACTCGCTGTCTCGGCCAGACGATGAGTACACGAGGGCCAGAGAAGCAGTTTTCTGTCTCTGAGTGAGATGTGAGGACACACAGACACTGAAAATACGTGTTCTGGGGCCGGCACTGTGGCATAGCAGCACATGCCTGTGATGCCGGCATCCCATGTGGGTGCTGGTTCGAGTCTCGGCTGTTCCATTTCTTATCTACCTCCCTGCAAATACATCTGGGGAAGCAGTGGAAGAATGGTCCAAGTATCTGGGCCCCTGCCACCTCAATGGGAGGCTCAGATGGAGTTCTGGGCTCCTCCTGGCTTTGGCCTGGCCCAGCCCCAGCCCCAGCCCCAGCCCCAGCCCCAGCCACAGCTGGCGCTGTGGTGTAGTAGGTGAGGCCGCTGCCTGCAGTGCTGGCATCCCATATGGGCGCCAGTTCGAGTCTAAGCATCTTTAAAAAAAAAAAAAAGTTAAGGCTGTATTTTTACATGCCAGGACAAAATGCCATGACAGGCCCTTGGGGCAGCTGTGTAGACTCCTTAAAGATGGAATATGTATTTTCTTTTTAAAAAATTATTTATTTATTTGAAAGGCAGGTTTACAGAAAGAGAGGAAGAAAGAGAGAGAGAGAGATCTTCCATCTGCTAGTTCACTCTTCATTTTTTTTTTTAAAGATTTATTTATTTATTTGAAAGAGTTACACAGAGAGAGAAGGAGAGGCAGAGAGAGAGAGAGAGGTCTTCCATCCACTGGTTCACTCCCCAATTGGCTGCAAGGCCAGAGCTGCGCTGATCTGAAGCCAGGAGCCAGGAGCTTCTTCCGGGTCTCCCACGTGGGTGCAGGGACCCAAGGACTTGGGCATCTTCCACTGCTTTCCCAGGCCATAGCAGAGAGCTGGATCGGAAGTGGGGCAGCCAGGTCTTGAGCTGGCATCCACATGGGATGCCGACGCTTCAGGCCAGGGCCTTTAACCTGCTGTGCCACAGTGCTGGCCCCGGTTCATGCTATTTTAATATTTCTAACTTTATATTCAGAGGTAAACATTTGAGTATTTCCATCAACAAATATTTAAGTAATTCTACAATTGTAGAGGAACAATAATGATTTCCTTCAATTTCCCAGGTTGGAGAGCCAAAATATTTTACAACTTCAGACCGAAGGAAGGGCCAGAGGTGCGAAGTTAGACTCTACGATGAGACAGAGGCATTATTCCCACTGGCATGGTAAACCCCCCCCCCCCCCACTGTGAGCACTGCTGCTGTTATCCTCAGGCAGAACACTTCCCTTGTATCACAACACACGGATTTCAGATCAAGAAGGAGTAATGCTAGGAGATACATGATATCTTCAAAAATAAGCCTTACTCTTGAGTGTTGGGTAGTTATGGATGCCACCTCAAAGTAGGTAGCCATGTTTAGATAGCATAGAATTGCTTAGATGGGCTTCTCTGTGACCAGTTTTATTTTTATTGTGTTTGAGAACAGATGGTGCTTTATTAGGTTCTATTGATGACAAATAAACCAGACTTTCCAGGGTCCCCAGCCACATCCTGGAGCAGCGGGGCTGTGCCCTGAAGCACTGCAGGGCACAGTAAGCCCTTGTTTAGACTCCTGGGGCTTAGGTGGCACAGGAAGCAATTTGAAAAGTGTCTTGGCTGGCACCGCGGCTCAATAGGCTAATCCTCTGCCTTGTGGCGCCGGCACACCGGGTTCTAGTCCCGGTTGGGGCGCCGGATTCTGTCCTGGTTGCCCCTCTTCCAGGCCAGCTCTCTGCTGTGGCCAGGGAGTGCAGTGGAGGATGGCCCAGGTGCTTGGGCCCTGCACCCCATGGGAGATCAGGAGAAGCACCTGGCTCCTGCCTTCGGATCAGCGCGGTGCGCCAGCCACAGTGCACCGGCCGTGGCGGCCATTGGAGGGTGAACCAACGGCAAAGGAAGACCTTTCTCTCTGTCTCTCTCTCTCACTGTCCACTCTGCCTGTAAAAAAAAAAAAAAAAAAAAAAAAAAAAAAAAAAAAAAAGAAGTGTCTTTACCCCAGCCAGTCCCCTGAGGAGTTTACCCACTGTGGGCCCTACCCTAGTGCTCTGAAAGTCTTCCAGTCTTTGGAGTTGTAGTCCCTGAGTTCCAGCCTGCATGGAATGACTGGTGCTGGCGAAATAAAGGAGCAGCAGAGCGGAGCACTGTTAGAGATGAGTGTGTGTTGAAGGAATGACTTCTCCACAGGTGTTAAGTACTCAGTGGGACAGACCGCACAGCAAATATCCTTGAGTCTGCCTTTGACCACGCAGGGGGTTACAAGCCCTGGCCACTGAGGCCATTTTGGTTTGTAAATTGTTTGTAAATAGTACATCACTACCAGTTTTTTTCCAATGCAGTCAATTTGTTTCACTTCTTTTTATATAAATGCAGTTGGGATAATGAATCCATTCTACTGGCACAGAGCTGGACTCCAGGAGAAACAGGTATCATAGCTCATTGGTAGTACTAAATATGTGGCATTTTTTATTCTTTGACAAAATAATTTTAAAGTGGGTTTTCTCTCAAACAGTAATATTTGCCGCAGATGTAAGAATAAGCTTTGACAAATTTCGGAACTGCATGACAGCAACTGTAATCTCGAAGTCCATTATTACAACGAATCCAGGTGAGAAGTGCTCTGAAATTTTTCATCCCTTTGGAAATGATTGTGAACATATTTAATATTTGTGCAATATATTGATGGGTTTAATCTGAAAAATTAAAAGTAAAAAATGCTTTATAATGACTTTCAAAAAATTAAAATAAGCTATATCTTTAATACTTTTATGAAAGAAATGTGAAAAGCCAGATAGATTTGTAAAGTATTGCCCATTGTCATGATATTTATTTGAAGATTTTATTTATTTATTTGAGAGGTAGAGTTATGGACAGACAGAGAAACAGATGGAGTTCTTCCATCTGCTGGTTCACTCCCCAAATGGAGTAAGCCAATCTGAAGTCAAGGGCCCCAGCACTTGGGCCATCTTCCACTGCTTTCCCACCCATAGCAGAGAGTAGGATTGGAAGAAGAGCAGCCTGGACTTGAACCATTACCCACATGGGATGCCGGCACCACAGGTGGAAGGTCAGCCTACTATACCACAGCGCCGGCCCCACTGTCATGATTTTTAAGAGATCAGTGTTATTCCATGGATTACTTAAATGATTGACAATTTAAAAACTAAATTCAGTTGTACTACATTCAAATACCTTTTTCTGCTGGACACACACCTGTGTGTTTGGTACCGTTAGTTCATAGCTGTAAATTAAATGCCCATAATTCTCCTGGAGTGGCTGTTACAGGAGTTACAGTTCTCTACATCATGAAATCAGGGGAGCAAGACCTGGGGAGATCAGAAAGGTCAAACATTCTGAGTGGTTTATTGTGTAGAGGTAACCGTCAGCTCAGTACTGCCCAAGAGTGAAGGATTACCAGAAACAAAATAATCATTTGCGATCTCAAGAAGACACAAACAGGAAGGACTTCCAAGAGTTTGCCAACAGTGAACTTACAAGATAAGTCTGGGGCTAGTGTCTGGCTTCGTAGCTAAGGCGCCAGGTAAGGCTTTACGAGTCCACGGCTCTGTATCAGTGCTGCTTCCTTGCTGCTGTCTCTCCTCCCTCCTCTCTTCTCCCCTCCCTCCTGTTCTTCCTTCTTTTTTATTTATTTGAAAGGCAGAGTAACAGAGAGAGGGAGAGACAGGGAGAGAGATTTTTCTGTTCACTCCCTAAATGGCCAAAGTCAGGAGCCAAGAGTTTCCTGCAGGTCTCCCACATGGGTGACAGCAGCCCAGGCACCTGGGCCGTTTTCCCTGGCCATTAGCAGACAGCTGGGTCGGGAGTGGAGCGGACAGGACACGAGCGGTGTCCATATGAGATGCCCGCATCAACCTGCCTCGCCACCACGCCAGCCCCGTCTGGGGACATTTCTAAAAGACACTGGGTATCTCTAGCGTCAGTCTTGACAGGCTGGCTGCATGAGAAACTGAGCCTGATGCGTGGGCTGATATTCTAGGACGTTGCACCTTCAACTCTGATAATAGGCTCAGAGGAAAAGTGTCTCAAGTAATTCTCAGCAATCTAGCATCTTTAGGATAATCACCTCTCTTTATCAGAAGGACATTGAAAAGTATGTTTATTTTTATTGCTTTTTAAAGACTTATTTATTCATTTATTTGAAAGGCAGGACGTGAGCTAGAGCTTGTATGGGATGCTGGTTTCTCAAGTAGCAGCTTGACCTGCTACACCACAGCGCACACACGTGAGTGTGGGTGGAGTCCCAGCTGCTCCACCTCCAATCCAAACGCCACAGCGCACACATATGAGTGGGGGTGGAGTCCCGGCTGCTCCACCTCCAATCCAAACGCCACAGCGCACACACGTGAGTGTGGGTGGAGTCCCAGCTGCTCCACCTCCAGTCCAGCTCTCTGCGAATGGCAGCAGATGGCCCAGGGGCTTGGACCGTTACCTCACATTCCCTGACACCTCCACCCCCAGCAGAGTGCTCTGGTTTCTGGGGCCCTGCTCCAGCAGCCCTCTGTCTGATGTGCAGCGGTCCTGCTAGTGTCTTGGAAACATTGATCTATCGGGCCATCAGTTACAGGTATTTTCTGAATGTCTTCTATTTGCCAACTCTTGAGCTTTGTGGAACAAGGCAGGTGAGTGGATTCAGATGTTGGAAATACAAAGATGAAAGGCACAGACGCTGCCCAGGAAGAACTGACCGTCCAGCTCTGAGCAGTGACATAGTGGTAAGGAGGAAGGGGAAACCTCAACTCTGTCCCCGGGAGTCAGCCTCGGACTTGTCAGGACAGTTTGTGTGGGGTTCAGGTAGGATGTGGGTGTGCTGAGCTGTGGGTCTGAGAGTTGTCAGGACAGTTTGTGGGGTCCAGGTGGGGTGCAGGCATGCTGAGCTGTGGGTCTGGGGGATGTCAGGACAGTTTGTGGGGGGTTCAGGTAGGATGTGGGTGTGCTGAGCTGTGGGTCTGAGAGTTAGCACTGTTTTCGGGGTCCTGGTGGGGTACAGCTGTGCTGAGCTGCAGGTCTGGGAGTTGAAAGGTGCTGGAGTCAGGTGGGAACCTTTTCAACATCCCCTTCTTGCCTTTGGCACACTGCCTAGTCGCTCCTGAGAGGAAGCATAGCCCAGTTCCAGGAGCAAGGTTTGAGTGACCGCGTTTTAGAGTGTGTGTGTGTGTGTGTGTGACTGGAAAAGAAATGCATACAGAATCCAGAAAATACATAAAAGCATAAAAAATGAAAATAAAGAGCACCTGTACTCCCACATCAGAGTTAAGTATTTCTTTTATCTATATTCTCTAGGTAATTTTGTATTTATGTGGGTAGATTTTAAGTTAAAAGTATAATGTACTGCATAGTTTTGTAAGTTGCTCTTTTCACTCACAATGTCTGGTGTACATCTCTTTACTTTAATCTCTCCACCTCACATTGTTAATGGCTACATAGTATTCTATGTGATTGTGTTTGTAAGTCTTCAATTGTTTCTGTTAAAACAATTTCGGATGGAGCTGGTGCTGTGGTATAGTGGGCTAAGCCTCTGCCTATGGCACCAGCATCCCATAGGGGCGCCAGTTCGAGTCTCAGCTGCTCCGCTTCTCATCCAGCTCTCTGCTATGGCCTGGGAAAGCAGTGGAAGACCTGGAAGGAGCTCCTGGCTCCTAGCTTCAGATTGGTTCAGCTCTGGCCGTTACAGCCATCTGGGGAGTGAATCAGCAGATGGAAGACCTCTTTCTCTGTCTCTCACTCTCTCTGTCTATAACTCTACATCTTAAATTTAAATAAAAATAATTTTGGATTGTTCACAATGATTTAAAAAATAATGTCTGCTTTTTACTTATTATGCATGTTCAATTTAAGATACACCAGAAGCTAACATCCTACTGAATTTTGTAAGAGGAAATAAAGAAGCAAATGTCTTCGATGATGAAATCGGCAGTCATTTAAAAGAATCCATAAACTGTAAGTGATTCTTTAAATATTATTTGATTTTTAAAAGACCAAAATGGGGTCTGGAATTTTGACATAGTAAAAGATACAATATTCTTATTCTGTAACTGCTGTATTTCCACTTTTGAAAAGGTGGTATATGGCCGGCGCCGCGGCTCACTAGGCTAATCCTCCGCCTAGCGGCGCCGGCACACCGGGTTCTAGTCCCGGTCGGGGCGCCGGATTCTGTCCCGGTTGCCCCTCTTCCAGGCCAGCCCTCTGCTGTGGCCAGGGAGTGCAGTGGAGGATGGCCCAGGTGCTTGGGCCCTGCACCCCATGGGAGACCAGGAGAAGCACCTGGATCCTGGCTCCTGCCATCGGATCAGCGCGGTGCGCCGGCCGCAGCGCGCCGGCCGCGGCGGCCATTGGAGGGTGAACCAACGGCAAAAAAAGGAAGACCTTTCTCTCTGTCTCTCTCTCTCACTGTCCACTCTGCCTGTCAAAAAAAAAAAAAAAAAAAAAAAAAAAAAAAAAAAAAAGAAAAAAAAAAAGAAAAGGTGGTATAACACTTTTTTTTGGAATGCTGGTGCTGTGGTGTGGTAGGTTAAGCCTCTGCCTGTGGTGCCAGCATCCCATATGGGTGCCCGTTCGAGTCCTGGCTGCTCCACTTCTGATCCAGCTCCCTGCTAGTGCTCCCGGGAAAGCAGTGAAAGATGACCCAAGTGTGTGGTCCTCTACCACCCACTTTGGAGACCAGGATGGGGTTCCAAGCTCTTGGCTTCAACCTCAGCTGTTGCAGCCATTTGGGGAATGAACCAACAGATAGGGGATCTCTCTCTCTGATTTCCCCCTCGCTCTATGTAACAGTACCTTTCAAAGAAATAAGTAAATAAATCTTTATTTTATATATGTTTATATATGCATATGAATATGTATGTATTTCTCTATTTTGTTTCTATTACAGATTTCTGCTTTCCTTTTGAATGTGACTTTAAGTGAACCTGTGTCTGTTTTTCTGATGTACATATGTTAGGGTATTTCAAAAGTTGATGGGTGAATGGAATTAAAAGTTTTCGTTGTAAAAAAGTTGAAATCCACGCACAGGTTCTCGTGACGTGCCTTTCCCCACACACTCTTTGGAGATCACTTATATACATAGCAGAACGCTGCACACCCATTTCATCTTTGCATGGTTCTGCCACGTGGTTTTCCAGTCTCTGCGTTCACACTTCTGCCAGCCATCCCTGAGGTCCTGGCTGCTTTGCATCCTCTCTGGTGCTTGTATTGCTAATCTTTAAATGGTGGCTGTTGATTGGACTCCTACTCTTGTTTAATTTGCATTACCTGCCGATTAATGAGGCCAATATGTTTGCTGGAAATTTAATGTATCTTTTGTTAAATACCTTTTAAATTCTTTTCTCCACTTAAAAAATTGAGTCACTGTCTTTTTCTTACTGATTTTAAAGAATTCTTCAGATATTCTATGTGAGTCCTTTGTTTTTCAAACTGTTAGCAGCTCCTACTCTGAAGATTGGATTTAAGGAAAAATCTTTAGATGACCAGAAAGGATTCACATAATGAAGATTAATTTCTCATTGTTTTTCTTTTATGTCTATTTCTGATCCATTTTAATATAACAAATGTAAATATTTACATTATTTATAAGCTTCAAAATGTTCTCTCTTGGCTTTATGGCTTCTCCATTTGGATATAATCCTTTGTAGTTCTGGGAATATATATAGAACTGGTATTCTTGTTTTTATTTTTAGTAAATACAATAGTTGAAGTCTATACAGTTGAACAACTGAAGGCAAAAGCTTTGAAGAATGAAAGAAAAGCTGACCCTTTGTATGGCATTCTTTATGCTTACATTTCTATGCTGAACATCGATAATGAAACTACAAACGTAGTGCGAAACAGATGGTAAGGAGCCAAGTTATTTTTAGCAGTTAATTTTTGTAAGAAACAGTTATTGTTAATAAATTTTAAGCTCTATCAATTTTCATTTTTTTTTTTTTTTGACAGGCAGAGTGGATAGTGAGAGAGAGAGAGACAGAGAGAAAGGTCTTCCTTTGCCGTTGGTTCACCCTCCAATGGCCGCCGCGGCCGGCGCGCTGCGCTGATCTGATGGCAGGAGCCAGGAGCCAGGTGCTTTTCCTGGTCTCCCATGGGGTGCAGGGCCCAAGCACCTGGGCCATCCTCCACTGCACTCCCTGGCCACAGCAGAGAGCTGGCCTGGAAGGGAGGCAACCGGGACAGAATCCGGTGCCCCGACCGGGACTAGAACCTGGTGTGCCGGCGCCGCTAGGCGGAGGATTAGCCTAGTGAGCCGCGGCACCGGCCTAAGCTCTATCAATTTAAAACCATGTTTGATGCAGCAGTCATATGAATCTGAGAAAATATATGAATAAATAAACCACACTGAAAAGTTTCCATGGCAAAATATTTAGATTCAAAGATTATAATTGCCTTTTAAAGTAAAATACAATCTGTGTTTCTGCAATCTTAAAATATGAAGATATAATACTGCCAGGTACTTTTTAACAAATGTATTTATTTATTTATTTGAGAGAAGAGTTACAGACAGACAGACAGACAGAGAGGTCTTCCTAAATGGCCACAACGACTGGAGCTGGGCTGATCCGAAGCCAGGAGCCAGGAGCTTCTTCCGGGTCTCCCACGTAGGTGCAGGGGCCCAAGCACCTGGATCATCTTTGGCTGCTTTCCCAGGCCATCAGCAGAGAGCTGGATCAGAAGAGGGGCAGCCAGGACTTGAACTGGTGCTGCTGGTGGACGCTTAGCCTACTATATCACAGCGCCAGCCCCTGCCAGACATGTTTACCTGGGATGCCCATCTTGTCTTAGAAGAAAGCTATTATGGTTGTCATATCTTATAGCAATACAATAGCAGCATTTAAAAATTATTTTGGGGGTCAGCACTATGGAATAGTGGATTAAGATGCTGTCTGCAATGCTAGCATCCCATCTGGGCATCAGTTCAGTTCCCAGCTGCTCTATTTCCAGTCCAGCTCCCTTCTAATGTGCCTCGGAAAGCAGCAGAGGATGGTGCAAGTGCTTGGGCCCCTGTACCCGCGTGGGAGACCTGGAAGAAGCTCCTGGCTCCTGGCTTCAGCCTGGCCCAGCCCTGGCTGTTGCATCTGGGGAGTTAACCAGCAGATGGAAGATTCTCTCTCTCTCTCCCTCTCTTCCTCTCTCTCCCTCTCTCTCTTTGTAACTCTGCCTTTCAAATAAATAAATCTTTTTAAAAAGAAAGGTCATGGAAAAATAAATTAAAAAAATAATTTTCTACTGCATGATGCTCATGACTTCCAGCCTCTCCTGGGTGAAAACCAGTATCCACTTGCACAGAAAGCGAATCCCGGTGGCTTTGATGATCTCAGCCTAGATGTGATTGCAGAAGCCTCCCTGAAGGATTTGTAATTGAAATTTGTATTGAGACAATTCTGAATTCACATGGGACTATGAAAATAATGCAGAGAAGTCCTTGTGCCGTTGACAGTGTCCCCAGCGGTGCCTCCCAGCTGCTGCGCGTCCCAGGGCGCTGAGCCTCACTCAGGCTTCTGAGCTAAGCGTGCAGCCATTGGTGTGCGAGTGCACTTGAGTGCGTCCCCAGTGCTTCACCACCTGCGTGGATCTGTGTCCCTCTCAGCAGGCAGTGAGTGAGCTCCAGACTTTCAAGTCATGTTACGCTGTGCTGTGAAGTGTGAATAGATCTTTAGTTGTCTAAAGTCAAGCCTCCTTCAGCAAAATGGCATAGCATGAAATTGCCATTTAAGAGAGAGGATCTCACTAGCAGTGCACACAGCATTTAGAATGTGGCCCTGACCAGTTGTGCAGGGTTTTCTGCACACTCATGTGTGGAAGACTGAGTGCAGGACCAGGAGTGAGCAGTCCTCACACCCACGCCTCCCCGGCACAGATGTGGTTCCTGCCCTCAGAACTCCCAGGCAAGGGGGTAAGATGGACACACCTGCAGTAACCAGGAGCAGAGTCAGTGCTGCAGCTCTCGGGGACGGGCACAGCAGAGACATGAGCCTGGGCGGACCTCAGGGCTGGGCAGGAACCCGGGGGAAGGGCGGGGAGGGCAGGATGGTGACAGGAGTGCTGGGCCCAGTTTCGGAGAAGTCAGACACTGGCAGTGAGGCTGGCGTGGGTGGCGAGCACTTGTAGTTTCTTGTCCTGCACAGCAGTGAGCGTTGGCCAAGTGTTCCACATGCAGTAAGTAGTTCTGCAAGTGGTATCATGTGTCCGTCAGGGCCATCACCGTTTGTCATGGTCTTTTCTTTGCAGTTCTGGCTGTGGTTATATTGTAAATGCAGCATCAAATACTTGTACAACTTGCCACAGAGACTCCTTGGGATATAAATCCAATTTTTCCAGCTTCGACATGCTGATCGATGTGACTGACCACACAGGCACCCTCCCTTCCTGCAGTCTCTCAGGAAATGTCGCTGAGGAGACCTTGGGCTGCACGGTAAAGAGCCAAAAAAAGAAGTGTTAGCAATATTTTGAAATGAATTCTCCTCCCCCCAGGTCTAGGTTATTTTGGTGAACATTTGATAGATAGAAGTTTATTCATTAATAAAGAGGTCGGCAGGTGGGGGGGAGGATCTTGATTTAAACAACATTGTTTTAATGAATATTCAGATATTGTATATCGAAATCCTAGATAACATTGACTGCTAGGAATAGTGACTGAAACACTAGCCAACAAGGAGGAATAAACGTGGCATTTTCTGTATCAAGTGGCAGTGGCTAACACAGTGTGATGGAGACATTACTTAGCTGTCAGGTGGCTTCAAGAAGTGGATTTTCACCGGCACAGCCTGTGTAGCCCCTGTGGTTTTCTTCCGGATCTGCAGCTGTAGATCAGCAGCAGATACTTAGAGGATAGCATGTGCATTTGATGGTAGGCACTTGTTTTTTTAATTGTTAAAACCATCTCATGAAATTTAGCATTGAGTTTTGTTCCAAATTATGTTTCCACGTCACTGAGGGGCTTTCCTCGCTGAGCACCTGATTCGCTGTGGGGACCCTGTTTTAGCTTTGCTTGTGTCGCCCCCTGTCTCAGGAGGACTGGGCTTGATCACTGCGTGAGATTTCATTCCTAGTGAGCAGGTTTAGATCTCACATCATTGTCACCGTGAGTTATGTATGTCAACCTCAGAAATGTTTGATCTTTTTTTCTAACAGGTCAATGAGTTTCTTGCAATGACAGACGGACAGAAAACAGCGTTAAAGTGGCAACTTCTTTTGGAAAGAAGCAAAATTTATTTAAAAGTTAGTGTATTTTACAGTACTGTATTATATATATTCAAACAATAAGGAAAGCCTAGACTGTGACCTAATAGAGAATTTATTATTTTTTAAAGATTTATTTATTTAAGAGGCAGAGTTATACAGAGAGACAGAGAGAAAGGTCTTCCATCCGCTGGTTCACTCCCCAGTTGGCTGCAACAGCCAGAGCTAGGTAGATCCGAAGCCAGGAGCCAGGAGCCAGGAGCGTCTTCCAGTTCTCCCATGTGGGTGCAGGGGCCCAAGCACCTGGGCCACGTCCACTGCTTTCTCAGGCCATAGCAGGGAGCTGCGTCAGAAGTGAAGCAGCCAGGGCTCAAACCAGGGCCCATATGAGATGCCAATGCTGCAACTGGAGGTTTAACCTACTTCTGCCATAGTGCCAGTGCCGATTCCCAGATGTGTAGAGGGAATTTAGTTACCCTAAAAATGGTGGATAATCAGGTTTTTTTAAAATATGGTATAAAGGAATGACAAATGACACCAAAGACAAGGACTGAGCGTGATGTCTCTAAGGCAAGGCTGTAGGCTGTAGGAGCAAGGCTGGGTCACCCTACCCCCACCCCTGCTCTGCGCCTGGTGAGGCACAGTCAAATGCTTAGACTCCTTCTTGGTCTGAATCTTCATTGCACTGCTCCATTGCACCAAGGCCTGTAGGGTGGTGAGGTTAGTGACCTTGGGAGTGTGTAAAATTCTGTGACCACAACTCTGGAGGGTCACAGGCAGCTCCTGTGGCACTGGCGACACTGCAGGGTTGGAGGCCCATGGGCTTGCAGCACTCAAGGGACAAGGGGAGAAGAGTCAGACTGCCTCCTTGGTGCAGGGAGGAGAGTGGACCAGAACATGTGACCACAGAGCCTGCACCCTTTCCCTCTGTGGTTCTCCAGTTCTTTATCTTTCCTGCTCCTGAAAGTTATTGTGCTCTTGCTTATGTGAGTTATGCTCACCGATAACTGCTGTACTAGATCTTAATATAGAGAAAAATCCAAACATTCATAAGCATACATTGCACTGCTGGACAGCACAATGATATCACATTATGTCCTGCAGCCGCTGGAAAGAGGCAGTGTGCAGTGTGAGGGAAGGCAGACCTCGCAGAGCTCTGAGTCCAGAGACCCTGAATCCTAACCTGCGAGCTGCTCTGCCATCTTCCAGGGTTCCTCTCCTGCAGCCTTAAGCATATCAGCAGAGGCCGCAGACATGGAGTCATCAAGGGCCTCCCCAGTGTTCCAGGACCTTCGTCTGAGGATTCGTCATTACTGAGACAGAGGAAGCGTTTCCTCCAGCGTTCACCTCGCACCTTGAACACTGTTCCCATCTCACCTTGAACGCTGTCTGTTCCCATCTCACCTCGAACGCTGTCTGTTCCCATCTCACCTCGAACGCTGCCTGTTCCCATCTCACCTTGAACGCTGTCTGTTCCCATCTCACCTCGAACGCTGTCTGTTCCCATCTCACCTCGAACGCTGTCTGTTCCCGTCTCACCTTGAACGCTGTCTGTTCCCGTCTCACCTTGAACGCTGTCTGTTCCCGTCTCACCTCGAACGCTGTCTGTTCCCATCTCACCTTGAACGCTGTCTGTTCCCATCTCACCTTGAACACTGTCTGTTCCCATCTCACCTTGAACGCTGTCTGTTCCCGTCTCACCTCGAACGCTGTCTGTTCCCGTCTCACCTTGATGCTGTCTGTTCCCGTCTCACCTTGAACGCTGTCTGTTCCCATCTCACCTCGAACGCTGTCTGTTCCCGAAGCCGATTCATTTGGCTCTTTGACCAACTGTGAGTTTTCCTTCCAGATAAAAGAGTCCCTCCAGACCTGTTGTCAATGAGTCTGGTCGATTTAAATTCAGAGCAGGCATTCAGCCTGGTGGCTGTGCTACTCTTGCAGCAGGGGGTGGGGTGGGGCTAGTGCTGTGGCTTAGCAGGTAAAGCTGCCGTCTGTGACATGGACATCGCATATGGATGCTGGTGCATGTCCCAGCTGCTCCACTTCTGACCCAGCACCCTGCTAATGGCCTGGGAAAGCAGTGGAAGATGACCCAAGTTCTTGAGCCCCTGCACCCATGAGGGTCAGCTCCTGGGGGTGAAGCTCTGGCTCCTGGATTTGGCCTGGCCCAGTCCCGGTCATTGTAGCCATCTAGGGGGTGAGCCAGTGATGGAAGATCAATCTCTCCCCTCCAGCTTTGACTCTGAAATACATAAATAACCCTTAAAAAAAAAAGACATTGCTTGGGACACCCATATCTCAGATTGGAGTGCCTGGGTGCAAGTCCCGGTGCTCCTCTCGTTTCCAGCTTCAGGCTGATGCGCATCCGGGGGCACCTCAGCTGGGGACTCAGGTTGATAGCTCCCTGCCACAACACCACACGGGAGACCTGGGTGGATTTCCTGGCCCTGACAGGCCCCAGCTCTGGCAGCAATCGGGACTGAGACAACAGTTGGAAAATTTCTCTCTGTGGGTCTCTGTGACTCTCAAATAAGTAAATAAATTCATGGGAAGGTACTTATGGTTTTCCAAACTTGATCCAAACATGACACATTGTCCTCAAGTAAATGGGCATTGTAACTTTCCAAAGAATATATTTAAAACATTTCAGTTGGGTTTAACAAAGATTTTAAGTGGCTGTAAAGTGGTTGTACCACATCACAAGATGTGATAAAGACCATGAAACTCAAATACTATTTCAATTGCTATAATCAGTTAGAACAGAACATATAATTTAGAAAGTTGGAACTTAATACTATTTTGTTAATATAACAATAACAAAATATTTATCCAGACTGAATATTTATATATTTATTATATTTCAGTTAAAATAATAGGTACCCAAAATGGTTCCATTGGAGTGAGTTCAGAGAGAATTCATTTTAATGTCTTAAAACAAAGTAATGGTGGCCCGCGCTGTGGCACGGTGGGTTAAGCCAGCACTTGTGATGTAGCGGGTTAAACTGGTTTGTGACACCAGCATCCCATATCAAAGCGCTGGCTACTCCTCCTCCAATCCAGCTCTCTGCTAGTGGCCTGGGAAAGCAGTGGAAGATGGCCCAAATATTTGAGTCCCTGCAGCTCACATGGAAGATACAGATTGAATTCCTGGCTCTTGGCTTCAACCTGGCCTACCTCTAGCAATTGTGGTCATTTGGGGAATGAACCAGCAGGTAGAAGATCCCTCGCAGCTGGCGCCATGGCTCACTAGGCTAATCCTCCGCCAGTGGTGCTGGCACCCCGGGTTCTAGTCCCGGTTGGGGCACCAGAGTCTGTCCCGGTTGCCCCTCTTCCAGGCCAGCTCTCTGCTGTGGCCCGGGAGTGCAGTGGAGGATGGCCCAAGTGCTTGGGCCCTGCACCCCATGGGAGATCAGGAGAAGCACCTGGCTCCTGGCTTCGGAGCTGTAGCAGCCATTTGGGGGGTGAACCATCGGAAAAAGAAGGACCTTTCTCTCTGTCTCTCTCACTGTCTAACTCTGCCTGTAAAAAAAAAAAAAAAAAAAAAATCCCCCTATCTCTGTCTTTCCCCTTCTCTCTCTGACACTCTGCCTTCAAATAAATCTCCAGAAACAAAAAACAAAGTATTAAAATTCCTTATATGTTTGATATCAGCATTAAAGAATGATTTCAAAAAAGGACAAAACCATAACTCCCAAACAAAATTAAAATGAACAGAGGCCGGCATTGTGGCATGGGGGTAGTGGGTTCGGCTTCCCCCTGTGATGCCAGCATCCCATATCAGAGTTTGGTTCAAGTCCAGGCTGCTCTGCTTCCCCTGTTAATGCATTAATGGGCCTGGAAAGCAGTGGAGGATGACCGAAGTACTTGGGCACCTGCCACCCATATGGGAGTCCTGGGCTCCTGGCTTTGGCCTTGCCCAGCCGTGGCTGTTGGAGGCATTTGGGAAGTAAACCAGTGGATGGAAGATTTTCTCTCTCTCTCTCTCTCTCTCTTACTCCGTAACTCTTCCTTTCAAAAAATAAAACTGGCTGGCGCCGTGGCTCAATAGGCTAATCCTCTGCCTTGCAGCGTTGGCACACCAGGTTCTAGTCCCGGTCGGGGCCCTGGATTCTGTCCCGGTTACCCCTCTTCCAGGCCAGCTCTCTGCTGTGGCCCGGGAGTGCAGTGGAGGATGGCCCAAGTGCTTGGGCCCTGTACCCCATGGGAGACCAGGATAAGTACCTGGCTCCTGCCTTCGGATCAGCGCAATGCGCCGGCTGCAGCAGCCATTGGAGGGTGAACCAATGGCAAAAAGGAAGACCTTTCTCTCTGTCTCTCACTGTCTACTCTGCCTGTCAAAAAACAAAAACAAACAAACAAAAAAAAAAAAAACTTAAAAATAAAATATTAGGTTTCATTTAACTCTATTTGATGAAGGAACTAGTATGTTAAAAAGAGGTTCAAAGGGGGCCGGCGCCGCGGCTCAATAGGCTAATCCTCCGCCTGCGGCGCCGGCACACTGGGTTTTAGTCCCGATCGGGGCGCTGGATTCTGTCCCGGTTGCCCCTCTTCCAGGCCAGCTCTCTGCTGTGGCCAGGGAGTGCAGTGGAGGATGGCCCAAGTGCTTGGGCCCTGCACCCCATGGGAGACCAGGAGAAGCACCTGGCTCCTGCCATCGGATCAGCGCGGTGCGCCGGCTGCGGCGGCCATTGGAGGGTGAACCAACGGCAAAGGAAGACCTTTCTCTCTGTCTCTCTTTCTCACTGTCCACTCTGCCTGTCAAAAAAAAAAAAAAAAAAAAAAAAAAAAAAAAAAAAGGTTCAAAGGAAAATCAAAAGAATAGACACATCAGAAATGCTGAGATGGATTTCTTACAGGGCAGCATCAATGCATCTACACCCAGGAAATGTTCCCTGGACCTGCATGAACAGCATCACTCGCGTCATTATCAGCTTCCCACCACCCACAGCTGAAGCACACTCAGCCTGTGCCGTGGCAGGTGTAGGGCCCCAGAAGCAGATAACTCCCAGGGTGCCCTGCCGTGCCACCCTGCAGACCTCCTCCTATCTGGGTCGCCCATGCACAGGCCTCCTCAGTTTTTCCTTATGCTAGCACATGTTTCTCTCTCTTCTTGGAAATGAGTGTTTGGCGTATCTGCCCACTTTATAGTAAATGAAATGTTGGTGGAAGTGCTTTGCAAATTGCAAAACAGCAGCAGTAATACACCGTCTTGTGCTAACCTGTGGCCTGACTGTGTGTCAGTGCTGCCTGCTCATGTCTGTCACAGCTGGCGGTCAGCGCACAGTAAGCTCTTTCCTCTACAGGTTGGGTTTGTGATCCCAGTTTCCTGCTTAAGAGGAAGGTCATGGAAAATGTTAGGGCTCTTTGCAAAATCCCTGGCAGAAGCTGTAATTTCTCTCCCATGCTCTCTGCTTGAGACTGGAACCCTTCTCAATGTCTTACAGTTGTGAGAAGTGTATGCTAACATCTGTAGACAGAGCTTTCTTGAGACTGGAACCCTTCTCAATGTCTTACAGTTGTGAGAAGTGTATGCTAACATCTGTAGACAGAGCTTTCTTGCAGGCCCCTTGGCCACTGGTGTTCAGCTTTATAAACTTGGTGGCCTCACAGTTCACCCTCTGTGTCTCTCTTCTCCCCACAGCTTGTTTCCTCGCCCAGAGCGAGGGGTGGGCTGAGAACCAGCGTTCTCTCATGTGTGCGTGCAGACCCCGTGGAGGCCAGTCGGCAGCTGTCTGGACAAGGACACCTTTAAAACCACATATCACTTTTTTCTAGATTTATTTATTTTATTTGAAAGGCAGAGAGAAAGAGAGAGGTCCTCCATCTGCTAGTTCACTCCCCAGATGGCCACGACAGCTGGAGCTGCGCTGATCTGAAGCCAGGAGCCAGGAGCTTCCTCCGGGTCTCCCATGCCGGTGCAGGGGCCCGAGGACTTGAGCCATCTTCTACTGCTTTCCCAGGCCACAGCAGAGAGCTGGACCAGAAGTGGAACAGCCAGGACTCAAACCAGCGCCTATATGGGATGCCGGCACTGCAGGTGGTGGCCTTACCTGCTACACCACAGCGCCGGCCCCCATGTAGTTTTAAACTCTGGAGAAGTTTGGAGTTTTGACTCTTTAAAATAGAATGTTAATTTGACAATTATGGATAAATATATTTTGTTTACATATGCTGGAAGCGTTCCTATGAACTGTGGCTGTGCCTCCTCCTGGAGTTAGTCTGGGGCAAGTCTGAAAGCCCCCAGCCGAGCCTGCTGCTCACAAGGCCCTTCCACTGCGCTGCCCTGTGCCCTCCCACGTTGGAGAATGTTTGCGCTAATAAACAAGCCCAGTCTCTCGTGCGGGATGAATGGTTTCTTCCTTAGGCCACTTGCCACGTTGGTCCCTGGAAGACGAGAGCCTCTAGGAACCACCATGGAGTGTGGCATCAGGTCCTCGGCCAGGCCAGGGCGGGGGCCACGTCTGCCGCAGCGTGACCACTGCGTCGCGTGCAGCCTTGCTGACCCCTTCCCTTCTGTGAGGACACGCTGACCATGCCGTGGTGTGGCGGTCAGTGTGGGGCTGGGATTCGTGAGTCTGAATCAGCAGGGGGACCAGCTCCAAAGGTTACCTGAGTGTCCGGAGCTTCCAGGGGTGGCCCCATGCAGGGTGCTAGGACACAGGCGGCTCGGCCGGCTGTGCTGGGGCTGGCGCTCCCAGAGGCTGCCGTCACCGCTTCAGGATTGGAAAAAGGGAAAAGTGAGTCTAGGAAGCTCCTTTATAAAGTGGGTCTTGGGAGAGAAACCTACCTTGCCGACAGTGTTTCCCTGGGTGTTACCACATGCAACTGTGGAGGAGTGAGGGCAGTTGACCCCCCGTTAAGCAAAGGTGGAGGTGGCACCTGACCACTGGGCCACGTCCAGCAGCTCAGGACACAGGGAAGGGATGCCACTCAGGTCGTGTCTGGAGCTGATCTGCCGGCCCTGGAGCCCTGAACTCCAGCAGCAGGTCCGGAAGCACCAGGGTCTGGGCTCCGAGCCCAGGGCCTCAGCTGCTCCCGCTGCCTCACCTCTGGCTGTGCTGCGTGATGGAGCAGGCCTCCCGGGCTGCAGCCACAGCCTGGAGCCCAGCAGCCAGCAAAGGGCTCAGTCAGCTCCTCACTGGTTAGGGGCAGCGCCACTGCTTATTCAACAGACCACACCCAAGAGTCCAGCCACACTGAATCCAAAGTGCTTCACCAAGTATAGCTCACACGTGGATGAAATAAATATCACCAGCCGGTCAGTGTCTGCAATTCAGCTGTACGTTAGCCAGAACGCAGGCACTCAAGAAAGTAGCAGCACACGGCCGTGGTGTCCATTGGAGGGTGAACCAACGGCAAAGGAAGACCTTTCTCTCTGTCTCTCTCTCTCACTGTCCACTCTGCCCATCAAAAAATAATAATAATAATAAAAAAGAACAAGCACCACAGCAGTGTGGACCCCATTCCTCACCCAGACCCTGGAGCCTCTGTCCTGACCATCATCTTTATTTTTAATTACTTTTTTATTAGAGTTATAGACAGAGAGAGAGAAAGAGAGAAATGTCTTCCTTCCGTTGGTTCACCCCCGAAATGGCCGCCATGGCCAGTGCTGCACTGATCCAAAGCCAGGGGCCAGGTGCTTCCTCCTGGTCTCCCATGCGGGTGCAGGGCCCAAGTACTTGGACCATCCCCCACTGCCCTCCCGGGCCACAGCAGAGAGCTGGACTGGAAAAGGAGCAAGTGGGACTAGAACCCAGCACCTATATGGGATGCCAGCGCTGCAGGTGGAAGATTAGCCTAGTGAACCACGGCGCCGGCCCCAATTACTTTTATTTTTTAAAGATTTTTTGTTTTTTGACAGAGTGAACAGTGAGAGAGAGAGACAGAGAGAAAGGTCTTCCTTTTGCCATTGGTTCACCCCCTAATGGCCGCCACGGCTGGCGCGCTCTGGCCGGCGCACCGTGCTGATCCGAAGCCAGGAGCCAGGTGTTTCTCCTGGTCTCCCATGGGGTGCAGGGCCCAAGCACTTGGGCCATCCTCCACTGCACTCCCGGGCCACAGCAGAGAGCTGGCCTGGAAGAGGGGCAACCGGGACAGAATCCGGCACCCCGACTGGGACTAGAACCTGGTGTGCCGGCGCCGCTAGGTGGAGGATTAGCCTATTGAGCCATGGCACTGGCCTATTTTTTAAAGATTTTATTTATTTACTTGGGAGGTAGAGTTACAGACAGTGAGAGAGACAGAGAGGTCTTCCTTCCATTGGTTCTCTCCCCAAATAGCCACAACGGCCGGAGCTGTGTGCTGATCCGAAGCCAGGAGCCAGGAGCTTCTTCCAGGTCTCCCATGTAGGTGCAGGGCCCCAAGGACTTGGGCCATCTTCCACTGCCTTCCCAGGCCATAGCAGAGAGCTGGATCAGAAGAGGAGCAGCCGGGACTAGAACCAGCGCCCATATGGGGTGCCGGCACTGCTGGTGGAAGAGTAACCTACTGCGCCACAGTGCCGGGCCCTTAATTACTTTTTTAAAATTATTTTTAGAGACAGAGAAAATGTGCCAGCCTATCTGCTGCTGGCTGGGACTTGGGGCTGGTTCAAGCCAAAGCTGGGAGCCTGGCACATAATCCAGATCTCTCACGTGCTTAGCTGTAGGTGGGCCGTCCTTGCAGTGGATGGGGCCGGCGCTGTGGTGGAGTTAAGCTGCTGTCTTCATTGTTAGCACCCATGTGGGCACCAGTTTGTGTCCTGGCTGCTCCATTTCCAGTCCTTAATGCCCCTGGAAAGCAGCAGGAGATGCCCCAAGTCCTTGGGACCCTGCACCTGTGTGGGAGACCCAGAGGAAGCTCCTGGCTCCTGGCTTCAGACCCGCCCAGCTCTGGCTATTGCAGACATTTGGGAAGTGAATCAGCAGATGGAAGACCCCTCCCCTTCCCACTCCCTGTAACTCTGCCTTTCAAATAAATGAAAAAATTTTAAGAAGTCCTGAACAAGAATCCCTGGGTTACGCTCTGCTTCTGGGGTATGTGACCTCAGTGAGGTGCAGTTGTTAAAAATGATCATGTAGGCCGGCGCTGCGGCTCACTAGGCTAATCCTCTGCCTGTGACGCCGGCACACCGGGTTCTAGTCCCGGTCGGGGCGCCGGATTCTGTCCCGGTTGCCCCTCTTCCAGGCCAGCTCTCTGCTGTGGCCAGGGAGTGCAGTGGAGGATGGCCCAAGTGCTTGGGCCCTGCACCCCATGGGAGACCAGGAGAAGCACCTGGCTCCTGCCTTTGGATCAGCGCAGTGCGCCAGCCGCGGCGGTCATTGGAGGGTGAACCAACAGAAAAAGGAAGACCTTTCTCTCCGTCTCTCTCTCTCACTGTCTACTCTGCCTGTCCAAAAAAAAAAAAAAGAGAGAGAGATCATGTACACCTCTATTTACTGACCATATTTTGTTTAAAAATTCTCTTAAAATGTTTATTCTTGTTTCATTTGAAAGGCAGAGCAACAGAGAGGGAGGGAGGGAGGGAAGGAAGGAGGGAGGGAGGGAGGGAAGGAAGGAGGGAGGGAGGGAGGGAAGGAATATTTTCCATCCACTGATTCACTCCCAAATGGCTGCAGTGGCCAGGTCTGGGCCAGGCTGAAGCCAGGAGCCTGGAGCCCTCTCCAGGTCTCCAGCGTGCGCGGCAGGGGCCCAGGCACGTGGGCCATCTTCTGTTGCTTTCGGGGGAACTGGATTGGAAGCCGAGCAGCTGGGACGCAGACTGTGCTCGGGGTGGGGTGCCGGTGTCACGGGTGGTGGCTTCACCCACTGCCCCAGTGTTGACCCCCCCCACAGCTGTTATGTTCTGTACGCACTAATGTACCAGGGCGTAATTTTAAGTGTGATAATGGTTTATTGTATATGGGAAATCGAAATATATAGCCACACACAGAGAACTGACGTAGCAAATGTTGACAGTTGTGGAATCTACCAAAGGGTACACGAAGTCCTTTGTATTGATCTTTCTGCATTTTCATGGGTCTGAATTCATTCAAAACAAACTGGGGAGATGCATTTTCTGGGTGCAGGGTTACCGTGAGTTCAGTAGCTCCGGGAATCCTGGGACGGGTGTATTTTGGACTCTTGCACCAAGCACTTGCTGTGCTGAGCCTGTGACGCCGACGTCAGCTGTCTGCGGCAGACACTGCTGCACCGGCCGGGCAGCCTTGCCCCCGGGCACCACGCAGTCTGGGTGCCGGCTTGTGCCACCTCCCGAGGGAGGCCACGTGTGACCTTTGCCCCTACCTACACCGTGCAGCCTCTCCCCTGAGCACTCGCACGGATGCCACCTGCACCTGGAACGTGCGTCCACCCTCTGTCCACTTACGGGAACCCAGCGAGAGGAGAGAACAAACGGGCTGCTCAGTGCTCAGTGCTCAGAGATGGACAGCTGACTCAGCGTCGTCTGTCACTGAAGATACCAGTGTAGACAGACACTGCACACAGCAAAACGTCAGGAAACGTCTGCTGTGAGCAAATCCACTTCAACAATTAGTTACAGCCCCGGGTTTGGAGGAACGCGCGCCGAATGGTTCACTTCGGCTTCGCCGGGTAGAGACGGCTGCAGCGTCCGTCTGTTTCCCTGTAGTTGCTGGAGCTTCTGTAGTAAACGTGTAGCCCTAAGCAATTAGAAGAAATTTAATTAAGGGGCCAGTGCTGTGGTGTAGCGGGCTAAGCTCCCGCCTACGACACCGGCATCCCACGTGGGCGCCAGTTCATGTCCCGGTTGCCCCTCTTCCAGGCCAGCTCTCTGCTGTGGCCCGGGAGGGCAGTGGAGGATGGCCAAGTGCTTGGGCCCTGCACCCGCATGGGAGACGGGAGGAAGCTCCTGGCTCCTGCCTTCAGATCAACTGAGCACTGACCATTGTGGCAATCTGGGGAGTGAACCAGCGGATGGGGGGCCTTTGTCTCTAACTCTGCCTCCCAAATAAATAAAAGCTTAAAACCACAACAACTAAGAGTAGGTAAGAGCGCACGACGCCTGGTAGACAGACCCGACCGTGGGATCACCTCAGTGACGCACACGTGAGCCTGGGCGTCCACTACAGGTGCACTTGCGTGCAGTCAAGACTTGAGGTTCTGGTCTGGGACAGCTGGGTCACCTCCTGGCACTGCCACGCAGCTGAGTGACCTACACGGGGCCTCTTGGCTCCTGCATCTAAACCTTTGCCTCTCCTATGGGGACAGGAGCGGCGGGCGGATGTATTGTGCATTCCATAATCCACAGAAACATACCGTGCGCTTGGCACAAGGCCCAGCAGCACTAAGTGCTTGGCAAATTATTACTAAATCAGATGTTCTCAGCTTTGTTCCAGGCCAAACGCCTCCCGGGTGCACGGAGGACTGGGCTGCAACGGGCGCCCTGGGCGGCCAGCCCTGCGTCCTGCCAAGACGCTTTGTTTTCTCAACAAGGGTGGGCAGGAGCCAAGGGCAGCCCCGCCATCCCGTTCCCAAGAGGCTCCCTTACCCCACCCCACCCCCACCCGCTCCCCCTACCCCACCCCCACCTGCTCCCCGGGCTCCCTACCCCACCCCCACCTGCTCCCCGGGCTCCCTACCCCACCCCCACCTGCTCCCAGGGCTCCCTTATCTCTGGCTGGGGTGCTGATTAACCTTTAGCAGAGCAGCTAGCTGCTCAGGAGGCTGAAGGTCGAAGGTCAAAGGTGGACAGACCTCCCTCCTGGGGGTGATGGGAAAGAGCACACTTCCAAGCCACACAAAACAGATTTATTTGGCTAACAGAATTAGGAAACTACCCTCCCAACACCGGATCCAAGGGCTAAGGCAGACCCCTCAAGCCAGCCGCGACCTCTCCACCTGCTTTCTCTCCACCTCTCCCTGACTATCCCGTGGCCGCGTGGGCACAGTTCCTGCACATGAACACCATAGCTGACCCGGGGGACCTGGGGCAGCGGCGAGGCCCGCGGTTCCCTGCTGATGGCCAAGTCCAGGGACCTGGGACGGCGGCGTGGCCCGCGGTCCCCTGCTGATGGCCAAGTCCAGGGACCTGGGACGGCGGCGTGGCCCGCGGTCCCCTGCTGATGGCCAAGTCCAGGGACCTGGGGTGGCGGCGAGGCCCGCGGTCCCCTGCTGATGGCCAAGTCCAGGGACCTGGGGTGGCGGCGAGGCCCGCGGTCCCCTGCTGATGGCCAAGTCCAGAGACCTGGGACGGCGGCGAGGCCCGCGGTCCCCTGCTGATGGCCAAGTCCAGGGACCTGGGGCGGCGGCGTGGCCCGCGGTCCCCTGCTGATGGCCAAGTCCAGGGACCTGGGACGGCGGCGTGGCCCGCGGTTCTGCCCTTTCTAGGGCGACGCCCCTGGAGTCCAGTTTCGGCCACGGTCACGAAGCCTTGAGATTCTTCTCCGCAGGGTCCCAGCTCCTCCGGGCCCCTGGGCTAGTCCACTTCCTAGACTGCGCACAAGACGGCCGGTCCCGCTGCTGCAGCTGGCGACGCCGGGCCTGGGCGCGCTCAGGCCTGCCACGGCCGCACCTCGCACCGCATGCTGACCACGCCCTCGATGCCCGCCTCGATCGTGTCGCCTTCCTTCACGGGCCCCACGCCCTCGGGCGTCCCGGTCAGCAGCAGGTCCCCCTCCTCCAGCGTCAGCACCCGGGACACGTAGCTGACCAGGTAGGGGACGGAGAAGAGCATGGCGGCCGTGTCGCCCTGCTGCCTGAGCTCGCCGTTGACCCGCAGCCAGAGGCGCAGGCGGTGCGGGTCGGGCACGCGCGCCTTGGGCACGAAGGCGCTCACGGGGCAGGAGGAGGTGAAGCCCTTGGCCAGGGTCCAGGGCAGCCCCTGCCGCTTGCACTCGTCCTGCACGTCCCTGGCCGTCATGTCCAGGCACAGCGCGTAGCCGGCCACGTAGTCCATGGCCGCGGCCTCGGGCACGGCGCGCGCGCGCGCGCCCACCACCACGCCCAGCTCCAGCTCGTGCTGCAGGTCGCGCGTGTAGGGGGGCACGAGCACGGGCGCGCCCTCGGGCGCGTAGGCGCTGCTCGGCTTCAGGAACAGCACGGGCTCGCGCGGCACGGCGCTGCGCATCTCGCGCGCGTGCTCCGCGTAGTTCCTGCCCACGCACACGATGTTCTTCCCCCACTCCCAGAAGCGGGACAGCGGCTTCGGCGCCGCCATGGCGCTCGCCCGGCGGTCACGTGACGCCTACGGCGGCCCGGAGGGGACGCGCGGCCGAGGATCGCCGTCCCGTCAGCGCTTGCCCGCCCTACCCGCTGCTCGGCCCGGGGAGCCACCGTCCAGCCGCCGCCTCGGAGCAACCTGACCTCCGGCCGCCAGCCCCGGGCCCGGACAGGCGGACGCCGCCGCCCACCGCCGGAACCCGACGCCGGCCGCGGCCGGACGCGAGCGCGCCGGTTGGCTGGGGGCAGCGCGAGGTGGGCGCTGATTGGCTGGGGGCGGCGCGGGGCGGTACGAGTCTGCGCGAGGTGGGCGCTGATTGGCTGGGGGCGGGGGCGGGGCGGGGCGAGGCGGGCGCTGATTGGCTGAGCGCGCCGGCGCCGGCGTTGTGTGGCCCCGAGCGGCGCGGCCGTCTGTCCAGCCCGGCTCGGGTCATGGTTCTCGGCCGCTGCCTCCTCGGCCGTCGGAGCCTCGCCGCACTGGGAGCCGCCTGCGCCCGCCTGGGTAGGTGGGCCGGGCTCGGCGCGGGGCTGGCCCCGGGGCGGCCTGGCGGGCGCAGGGGCGCGTGGACGGCCGTTGGGCCGCGCCCGCTGACGCCGTTTTCTGTTGACGCAGGTGCCTGAGTCCGCGCTGCCCGCCGGGCCGCGGGAGCGAGCGCAGGGGCGCGGGCGTGAGTCAGGCTGTGCCAGGGCCGCAGGACCGCGCCCGGTAAGGGAGCCCCGCCGGCCGCGGCCCCTGGCCCAGGTGGGGCCCGCGCGCCCCGCGTCCCCCGGTGGCCGGCAGGGCGGCCTCGGCGCCTCGCCCATGGCGGGGCGGGGGTCTTGACGTTACCTGACGACTGGACGTCCGGCTGAGGTAGCGCCGGGGGCCGGTCGCGAGGCGCGGAGCGAGCCCGGCCTCGCTGACAGCTGTCAGGGTTCCAGAGCCTGTTTTCCGAGGTCCCCGGGGCCAGGGCCGCTCGTGTGAGGGGCCCGGGCCGGGCCGGTCGTGGCGCCCCTGCGGCCAGCGAGCCGTGTCCGCGGACCGGGCCCGCACCGAGGGCTGCAGGTCCGTGGCGTCTGCCCGCGCAGGCCAGGGCGGCTGTAGGTCTTCCAGGCCGCGCTGGGTTAGGCGACAGTGTCCGGGTGGCCCCAGGTTGTCCCCCCGGCGCTCACGGCCCCTGGGGAGCTGGACTTGCCCGTCCGCGGTGTGTGGTCCGGTCCGGCGCCCCCACTTCGGGGAGGGGGTCCCGCCCTGCAGGGCGCTGGGACAGTACCGGCCGGGGAGGGAGAGGACCCCAGAGAGCTGGGCATACAAAATGCTGACTGTGCTGTGCGCCAGGAGGTGGCTCTGGGGGCTGCCCAGCTGGTGTCAGAGGGGGAGTGGACACCTTGCTGTGGTCAGCGGTGGCGCGGTACGTGGGACGCCCGCGCTGGAGCTGTGGCCCTCTGCTGGGGGCTGCCGCCCTCTGGTCCCTTCTGGGAGAGGCCGGGTCCCTGGGCCTGCCCTGGGGTTCTCTGTGCCCCACTTCAGGGCTGAGACTGGGGGGTGGGCGTGTGTTTCGGAGTCAGTGGTTGCATTGCTAGAAAGACTTTGGAGTCGCATCCCACACCCACGCCGGCAGAGCCTGCTGGGCGAGTCTCCCGGCCTGGTGCCTAGACCCGGCGTGGCCCACTCGGGAGGCCAGGGAAGGGCTCAGGCTGGGCTGGCGGGGAAGCGGCTGATGTCCCGGTGTGAGCGTGACTCGTTTTCCCTGGTCCGGGGCGGACGCTGACCGGAGGCTGCCCTCTGCCTTCAGGGCCAGGCCTGCTGGGACCCCTGGTCTGCCTCTCGGGTTTCAGGAGGAGTGTGACGGTGCAGCAGGGTGCCATGAAGGTCCAATTGCTGCCCGCCCTGACGGACAACTACATGTACCTGGTGATCGACGACGACACCAAGGAGGCCGCCATCGTGGACCCGGTGCAGCCCCAGAAGGTGCGCGGGCTGCTGGCTCTCCTGGCACCGGGCCACCGCGGCGGGGTCCTGGACGTGGTGTCCCGGCAGCTGTGCCAGGCCCATTGAGTTCTAGAAAAACAGACCAGTGGCCGCCTGCTCTGGTGAGGGTGGGCAGAGGGGGCGGGAGAGGGCAAAGGTTTTGCCACCCAGAGCCACACACGTGGGCCTTTGAAGGCCCTGCGTGTGGCTGCTGGAAGCCTCCCGCCCTCAGGGGTGCTGGCGCCGGGCTGCAGGGCCGTGGGAGGGACCGAGAGGGACCGGCACTCCCCCCGCTGCCCTGGAGGCCTGGGCCTGGCACTGCACCAGGGCCGGGATGTGACCTCTGCCCTGCCTCCCCTGGGGCCGCAGGTTCTAGACACGGTGAGGAAACACGGTGTGAAGCTGACCACGGTACTCACCACGCACCACCACTGGTAAGTGCGGGCCCCGGCCTGTGTCTGCCCTGGAAGCCCCTCCCCCCAGCTGTGTCTCAAGCAAGCACACGGGGGGCCCCAGCTGGGCTGGGTAGTGGGCTCTGTGACGAGGGAGAGGGGAGAGGGCCAGGCCAGCCGCCTCCTTAGCCTCTCCCCCTGCTGGGCCGTGGGGATAGGGGACCCCAGCAGCTGCCTGTCCATGCCCTGGGGGCGTGCAGTGGATATCGGCCTCCTCGTCTGGGCAGAAAGGAGCTAGTAGCCACTGGCGCCCACGTGGGTGGCAGGGGCCGAGCACGTAGGCCACTGCCTTCCCAGTGGGGTCAGCAGGGACTGGGCCCGCAGCAGGGCGCTGTGCCGGCGCTGTGAGGGGCACGCCCGCGTCGTGGGCAGTGGCTCCGCCTGGCGCTCCACTGGGCTGGTGCTGGCCTTCTGAAACCTTTGAGGTTCTTCAAAGCCAGGAAGACATGTTTATTGGGCTCTTAATTCTTTCCCAAATAATCGCGTGAAGGCAGCCACAGGAGGGCGCCCTGGCTCCCCACCCTCTCTCCTCGAGGCCAGTCCTGGTGTGTCTGGCCGGGAGTGTTGCGTGGACACGGCCTGCGGGGCTCTTGGTTCAGGCCAGCAGCTGGGCCGTGGGGCCTCGCTTGATCTTTGGGGGTGGGGCTGTGAGCTGGCCGGGCCCCCTTCCTGCAGCGGCGCCTCCTGCTGGCGCCTGGGCTCTAACAGCGCGCAGGGCCGCGCAGTGTCGTGGCTTCCTGCACCGAGCCCTGGGCTGCGTGTGTGACACCTGTTGCAGAAGCCGGCTGCTGCCCTGCACTGACCGCTCTGCGCGGCAGCAACCCGCGGTGGACCTGCAGGGAGGTGGGCTGCTGACCACCAGGCCCCCGGCCTGCGGTGTGCCAGCACACAGGTGGAGCTCGAGCTGGCTGGGGTGCTCCTGGCGCCTGGCGCTGCTGTTCCACACTCCTGTGCCAGGGCAGTGGGTCGCAGACTGAGCCGCACCTGGGAGCTAGCTGGGAGCCCTGGGGGATCGGTCCTGGCCTCCTCACCGACCGCCAGCTGCCTCCCGCGGCCCAGGCCTGGGTACCCCGCCTCGGGGTTGCCAGGTGCTGGTGAGCGGTTCCCGCCCTTCACAGACGGCAGGCGGTGGCTGGAGTGAGGACGCTCCTTGTGGGGCCTGCTCCCCGCGTGGGTGGACGCCTGCTCCCCGCGTGGGTGGATGCCTGCTCCCCGCGTGGGTGGGCGTCTTTCTGCTTCCGAGGGGCGAGCTCGGCCACAGCAGCCCCGTGTGGCCAGGCCTCGGGAGCAGGCCGGTTCCCCCGGCCCCAGCCCGCGGGTGGCCCAGGTATCCGCTCGGCCTGCAGGGACCACGCCGGTGGGAACGAGAAGCTGCTCAAGCTGGAGCCCGGGCTGAAGGTGTACGGAGGCGATGACCGCATTGGGGCCCTGACGCACAAGGTCACGCACCTGTCCACGCTGCAGGTGAGCGGCGCCGTCCCCTCCACGCCCCTCCCTGGCCTGCCTCAGCTGAGAGCAGAGGGAGCTGCGCACGTCACCGCGCCGCACGTGGCTCTGCGGGGTGTGGCAAGTGTGGCCACCCGGCACGTCCCGGCAAGACCGCCCTCGGCGTCGCAGTGGACTGGGTGGCTGGGATGGGGGAGAAAACCACGCGGCCCTGCTGGGTTCCATTGGCCTCAGCCCAGCGGGAGTGAGGCACCGCACTGAGCCCTGCGGTTCTGCCGTGGCCTCGCGCGTGGCACTGCCCGCCGTGCTGCACACACGCGTGGCCTGCTTCACTCTAGGTGGGGTCTCTCAGCGTCAAATGCCTGTCCACCCCGTGCCACACCTCAGGACACATCTGCTACCTGGTGAGCAAGCCTGGTAGTGCGGAGCCGCCTGCCGTGTTCACAGGTGAGTGCGGCGTGTGCGTGCCGGGCGCCGCGCGTCCTGCAGGGCGGACTGCCTGTCTCAGCGCCGCATTGGGCGGAGCGCCGTCCTGGGGTGGAGCCTGGGGCTCTGCTCCACACCTGTGTGGGGTGGCTCCTGGGGGCCTGTCTGCTCGCTCTGGTCTGGTCCTCCCAGCACACGGTGGCGGTGCCTGGGGGACAGACCTCCCGCTGAGGTGGGCATGGCCTGGGGGTGGAGCCTGGGTGTGGCAGGCTCCTATAGCTTTGGGGTGCCCACCCTGCGCCGTGGGGCAGAACGGCCTCTTGGGGATGGTCCTGTCAGCTGTGAACCCTCAGAGCAGGCGTGTTGAGGACTGGCCTTGGCTGCGTGGGGCCTGCCAGGGAAGGCGGGGCATGAGGTGCCGCCATGCGCTCAGTGTCGGGCAGTGGCCCGGCTGGGAGTCTGCAGGTGGTCCCAGGCGACTCCCGAGGGCCGGGGGGGACGCGGGGGTCTGGGAGTCTACAGGTGGTCCCAGGCGACTCCCGAGGGCTGGGGGGGACGCGGGGGTCTGGGAGTCTGCAGGTGGTCCCAGGCCTGTGAGATTCCCTCTCCCTGTCCTGCTGGCCCCGTGGCGGCCCCCCGCCCCCTTTCCGTTTGTAAAAGGGAGAGAAGAGGCCCAGCCTCACTGTGGTGTGCAGGCGGCCCGGCCGGCTGGGCTGTGGTCCCGTGAGGGGAGGCAGGGACAGGCTCTGCTCAGACGCCCGCCCGGGCCCACAGCAGGTGCGAGGGAGCCATGGCCGCCGCGGCCGGCTTCCTGAGGACTGTCCCTTGCACTAGAAGGTGTTGGGAGGCCTGACTGCTGGGGACACTGGCTCCACCTGTCGCCGGCATCACCGTGACTGGCAGAGCAGGGTGTCCTTAGGTTACTTTTTTTATTTGAGAGGTAGAGTTACCATCAGGGAGGAAGTGAGCAAGCTTGCCCAGCCGC